ACTACTATTACTACTGCTACTATTACTACTGATGGAGATGGAGGTGGGGGTGATGGAGATGAGGGTGATGTTGATGAAGATGGAGGTGGGGGTGATGGAGATGAAGGTGGGGATGATGGGGGTGGAGGTGGAGGTGGGGGTGATGAAGATGAGGGTGGGGATGATGGAGATGAAGGTGGGGGTGGAGGTGGGGGTGATGGAGATGAAGGTGGGAGTGATGAAGATGGAGGTGGGGGTGATGGAGATGAGGGTGAGGAAGATGAAGATGGAGGTGGGGTTGATCTGGACTTTTATGTTTAAATGTTCTTTTAATAACGGAGCCGAGAGCGACAGGAGGAACCAACGACCCGAACAGAAGATGGAAAAAAACGGGAGGAAAAAACGATTCAATTATAAACGCCTGAGAGAAGAAGAGAGGGAAAGAAGGAGAGAGGGAGAAGGAAGGATAGGAGAAGAGAAGAGAGAGGGAGGAAGGAAGGTAGAGGAAGGGGGAAGAAGGGAGAGAGGAAAGGAGAAAAAAATCTGTGGGAGGAGGAAAGAGAAAGAAAAGGAGAAAGAAGCATAGGGAGGTGGAAGACGAGAGCAAGGAGAAAGAAGAGGGGATGAGAGGAGAGAGAGGGGGAAAGAGGAGAGAAAGGGGAGTGAGGGGAAGAAAGAGGGGTACAGAGAGAAAAAAGGAGAGAAAGGGAGGAAAGAGGGAGTGTGTTGTAGGCGTGTGCAGTGAAGGATGGAGGGAGCGAGGGAGGAAGGAGGGAGCGGTGGAGGATGGAGGGAGCGAGGGAGGATGGAGGGAGCGAGGGAGGAGGGGAGGGAGCGAGGGAGGATGGAGGATATTACAAACACAGCGACATTTCACACTGAGTCTGAGGGTTTATTTCTCTGAGAACGGTTCATTTTCAAACACAACTCTGATCTGGTTTAGTCCTGGTTCAGTCCTGGTTCAGTCCTGGTTTAGTCCTGGTTCAGTCCTGGTTTAGTCCTGGTTCAGTCCTGGTTTAGTCCTGGTTCAGTCCTGGTTTAGTCCTGGATCAGTCCTGGTTTAGTCCTGGTTCAGTCCTGGTTTAATCCTGGTTCAGTCCTGGTTTAATCCTGGTTCAGTCCTGGTTCAGTCCTGGTTTAATCCTGGTTCAGTCCTGGTTTAGTCCTGGTTCAGTCCTGGTTTAGTCCTGGTTCAGTCCTGGTTCAGTCCTGGTTTAGTCCTGGTTCAGTCCTGGTTTTCCTGGTTTAGTCCTGGTTCCTGGTCCTGGTTCAGTCCTGGTTTAGTCCTGGTTCAGTCCTGGTTTAATCCTGGTTCAGTCCTGGTTTAGTCCTGGTTTCAGTCCTGGTTTAGTCCTGGTTCAGTCCTGGTTTAGTCCTGGTTCAGTCCTGGTTTAGTCCTGGTTAGTCCTGGTTTAGTCCTGGTTCAGTCCTGGTTTAATCCTGGTTCAGTCCTGGTTAATCCTGGTTCAGTCCTGGTTTAATCCTGGTTTAGTCCTGGTTCAGTCCTGGTTTAGTCCTGGTTCAGTCCTGGTTTAGTCCTGGTTCAGTCCTGGTTTAGTCCTGGTTCAGTCCTGGTTCAGTCCTGGTTTAGTCCTGGTTCAGTCCTGGTTTAGTCCTGGTTCAGTCCTGGTTTAGTCCTGGTTCAGTCCTGGTTTAGTCCTGGTTCAGTCCTGGTTCAGTCCTGGTTTAGTCCTGGTTCAGTCCTGGTTCAGTCCTGGTTTCAGTCCGGTTTAGTCCTGGTTCAGTCCTGGTTCAGTCCTGGTTTAGTCCTGGTTCAGTCCTGGTTCAGTCCTGGTTCAGTCCTGGTTCAGTCCTGGTTCAGTCCTGGTTCAGTCCTGGTTCAGTCCTGGCGTCTCATCAGACATAGATCTGTAATTGAAATGACAAAAAGATCCACGACGCCGCCTCAGCGAAATGTGCGACTCTAACAGGACGTCTGAGCTGTCAATCACAGGAGGGGCGGGACTAAACCAGGACTAAACCAGGACTAAACCAGGACTAAACCAGGACTAAACCAGGACTAAACCAGGACTACCACTCTGAGAAAAGAGAATGAGGAGAGACAGTGGGTAGAAAGATGAAGAGAGGGAGAGGTCGAGGATGTACAGAACGATGAAGGGAAGAGGGGAAGAAAAGAGGGGAGGGGGTGGAGGAGAGAGAGAGAATAAGAATGAAAAGAAGAGGAGAGAGTGATGGAGGAGAGGTTCAGTCCTGGTTTAGTCCTGGTTTAGTTCTGGTTCAGTCCTGGTTTAGTCCTGGTTCAGTCCTGGTTTAGTCCTGGTTTAGTCCTGGTTCAGTCCTGGTTTAGTCCTGGTTTAGTCCTGGTTTAGTCCTGGTTCAGTCCTGGTTTAGTCCTGGTTTAGTTCTGGTTCAGTCCTGGTTTATTCAAATATAAAGAGGATGAGTCAAAGTGCTCAGACGAGGTTCATGTTTTTCTCGTTTTTACTTTTGTAGTTTTGTTGCTTTGTCGTTACAGTTTCTGTGTTAAATATTTTAAATATTTCTGTTTTTTCTTGGTTTGTTGTTTTATTTCTTGTCGTTTTTCGTCAGTTCAGTTTGAGTTTGTGGAAAAAGTTGAAAAGTATAAAAATAGAGGAAGTGCTGAGTCTAGAACAGAATCCCTCGGCCTGTGTCGTTATAAAATAAAATATAAATATAAAATATAAATATATAAATTATAAACGGGTCGAGCGTTTGTCGTCTGATCTGAAGGTCGGTGGTTCGAGTCCCGCTCCAGCTCCTGTTGTTGTGCCCTTGAGCACGACCCTGTCCTCTGAGCGTTTCCTCAGACGCTTTGAGCCTTGGAGGTGGAAATGTAAAAATATAAAAATATAAAATTTGTTTTGTTTGTTGTTGTTTTTTTTCTTATGAATTCAAATCTCAAAACATGGAGAATTTTTACTGATCAAACTTTTGTTTCACAGACGACGGCGACGCTCCAGCCCCCGTCTTTAAGGTACCGCCATTTTAAACCTCTTCTTTATCGCTCAGGGGTTTAAGAGGAAGAGGCGAGAGGAGGAGGAGAGAGGAGGAGGAGGAGGAGGAGGAGGAGGAGGAGGAGGAGGAGGAGGAGGAGAGGAGGAGGAGGAGGAGGAGGAGGAGGAGGGAGGAGAGGAGGAGGAGGAGGAGGAGGAGGAGGAGGAGGAGGAGGAGGAGGAGGAGGAGGAGGAGGAGGGAGGGAGGAGGAGGAGGAGGAGGAGGAGGAGGAGGAGGAGGAGGAGGAGGAGGAGGAGGAGGAGGAGGGAGGAGGAGGAGGAGGAGGAGGAGGAGGAGGAGGAGGAGGAGGAGGAGGAGGAGGAGGAGGAGGAGGAGGAGGAGGAGGAGGAGGAGGAGGAGGAGGAGGAGGAGGAGGAGGAGGAGGAGGAGGAGGAGGAGGAGGAGGAGGAGGAGGAGGAGAGGAGGAGGAGGAGGAGGAGGAGGAGGAGGGAGAGGAGGAGGAGGAGGAGGAGGAGGAGGAGGAGGAGGAGGAGGGAGGAGGAGGAGGAGGGAGGAGGAGGAGGAGGAGGAGGAGGAGGAGGAGGAGGAGGAGGAGGAGGAGGAGGAGGAGGAGGAGGAGGAGGAGGAGGAGGAGGAGGAGGAGGAGGAGGAGGAGGAGGAGGAAGAGGAGGAAGAGGAGGAGGAGGAGGAGGATGTTGGTGAAGGCCGAGTGGATTTTATGTTTGTGTCCTCAGTAAAACTCCTCCTGGGTTTCCTTCGCACATGCATCATTAATTTGGACAAAGACAGGGACATAGTCCTGGTTTAGTCCTGGTTCAGTCCTGGTTCAGTCCTGGTTCAGTCCTGGTTTAGTCCAGGTTTAGTCCAGGTTCAGTCCTGGTTCAGTCCTGGTTTAGTCCTGGTTTAGTCCTGGTTCAGTCCTGGTTTAGACCTGATTCAGTCCTGGTTCATTCCTGATTCAGTCCTGGTTTAGTCCTGGTTCAGTCCTGGTTCAGTCCTGGTTCAGTCCTGGTTCAGTCCTGGTTCAGTCCTGGTTCAGTCCTGGTTTAGTCCTCTGTTTCTTTCAGACTAACCCGTTGGTGACTTTGAGGTTAGGATCTTTCAAAGCTCCTCGTCTCTCGAACTCTGGACAAGTTCTGAGTCTGGACTGGCTCCAACACAAACCACACAACCTCACACGCACCTGCATCACCTGTGCGCACCTGTCACACGCACCTGTCACACGCACCTGTCACACGCACCTGCACACACGCACCTGTCACACGCACCTGTCACACACGCACACTGCACCTGACACACGCACACATGCACCTGACACACGCACCTGTCACACGCACCTGTCACACGCACCTGTCACACGCACCTGACACACGCACCTGTCACATGCACCTGAAACACACAGGAGCGCACCTGTCACACGCACCTGACACACGCACCTGTCACATGCACCTGAAACACACAGGAGCGCACCTGACACACGCACCTGACACACGCACCTGTCACATGCACCCGAAACACACAGGAGTGCACCTGTCACACGCACCTGTCACACGCACCTGAAACACACAGGAGCGCACCTGTCACACACACCTGTCACACAGGAGGGCGTCACACGTGTGCGTAGTGACGGGAGGGCATCTGGGTGTTTCAGGGCACGTGGGCGTGTGGGACCTGGTCACTCGCTCGTCGTTGCTGCGAGTTCGAGAGGCGGACGGATCCATGACGCTTTTGCCCTTCGAGTGTTTCCTCGCCCACGACCTGCCGGTGCGCCACGTGTCCTTCTACCCCGCCTCCAGGTGAGACACGCCCTCTGACCCCGCCCCCACGCCCCCTGACCACGCCCCCTGACCCCGCCTCTAGGTGAGACACGCCCCCTGACTCCGCCCCCATGCCCCCTGACCCCACCCACAGGTGAGACACGCCCCCTGACCCTGTCCACAGGTGAGACACACACCCCCGACCCCGCCCCTTTTGTAGCTAAAGCTCTAAATTAAACATTTTTATGTCTAATAAGGTTTTTCTACATGTTCGTGTGAGTTTGTATGAAAGAGTGTTGTTGTTTTTTTCTTGTGTATTTCTGATCCTGTAGTTTTTATTTCAGCCCAATGACACGAGTCCAGCAGCAGATCGTGAAATAACAAAAAAAAAAAAAAAAAAAAAAAGATGAATAACACAAGGGAGAGTTTTAATAATAACATTAAGAACGAAATCCAGACGAGGACAAATGAACTAAGACTGACGTTAGGTTTTTGATCATGATCAAAAGGCCCATGAGTACGAGGTGTTCACCACTGATACTGATACCAATACTGATACCGATACCTGCATGTCTTTAGAGGTACTTTAAGTTTAATGCCACACTTCAGGTAAATTAATATATAAATCTTCAAAGAACAAGCTATACCTGAAAAATTCCACAGTGCCTCAAAAGTGTCTGAAAGTGAAACCAAAGTCGTGTTGTTTTTGTCACGTCTGAATAATAAATGTGGTGATTAACTGAACTCAAGAAGCTCCGTGTTTCTAATTAACTCTGAAATGTGGCTTATTCATCATCTAAGGACCTCTGAGGAAGACAGGAAGACTAAACCGGGACTCAACCAGGACTAAACCGGGACTAAACCAGGACTAAACCGGGAGTAAACCAGGTGTAATAAGTCCAGACATTCACAGATGATGGAGTTTCCCAAAGCTTTTCTCTGCCGTTTAAACGATGTGTCCTGGTCTTGGTTCAGGCTCGGCTTTTATCGGACTCCTGTCAAATCGCTCACGCGCTTCATTTTCACAACGACTTTTGTGGAGATAAAATAATGAATCCTGATGTTTTTTCTGCTGCTCAAAACGTGCAGAGTCTGAGCCTGAAAAATGAAGAGCCGAAAATCAATACGACGACTCTGGAGTTATTAATCGACAGAGAAATGTACAAACAGAAGGAACTAAAACAGGATTAAAACAGGTCTAAAAACAGGTCTAAAACAGGAATAAAACATGTTCTTGTAAAACTGCAGTAAATGTTGGGGAGATCTGGGCTGAAAAACAGAATCGCTGAAGCAGAGTGAGACATTTTTTAAAGAAAAGTATAATTAAAAGTCGCTGGTCTGTGGCTCGAGTCTTCAGTCCGACGTCAGCACAAAAGTCACAGAAAGAAAGAAAAATGAGAAAAATTTAAACCGTGGCATTAACAGAGTCTAAGGTCACACTGTCCCCGAGTCTCACCGAGTCTGTGAGAGTCACACTCTGCAGTGACGTCACCCTGGGGCTGCTCTACATGTGTGTGTATGGTGGAATGTTCAGCGCATCAACAAACAGCCCAAAAATAACAGAATATGTAAAGAAACTCAAGGACAAACCCAAAGTGATTTAAAGATTCACAGATAAAGTTTAGAGTTTCACACGTTTAAATCACAAACCTGCACATTTAACACGAGTTCTTCTCTCAAACTAAAAACACTGCTCCACCTCGTGATGTCATCATGTGGTGATACAGGAAGTGTTCCACTGTGTTTTTAAACTCCACACACCTTCACTAGAATCACCTGGAACATTTCAGTGCTGGAGTCGTCGATCTCGACTGAACTGAAGGGAAAAGGAGCTGAGAACTTGATGACGTCACAAGGTGGAACAGAGCGTTTGGAGTTTTGCAGATGTAACAGACTCAGAATAAACAAACAAACACGAGTCCAGCTCTGAGTGTGACCAGGAACAAACAACAACAGAACAACAGAACATTAGAACAGTAGAACATCAGAAGAACAGTAGAACATCAGAAGAACAGTAGAACATTAGAAGAACAGTAGAACATTAGAACATCAGAAGAACAGTGGAACAGAAGAACAGTAGAACATTTGAACAGTAGAACATCAGAAGAACAGTAGAACAGTAGAACAGTAGAACAGTAGAACAGTAGAACATCAGAAGAACATTAGAACATCAGAAGAACAGTAGAACATTAGAACATCAGAAGAACATTAGAACATCAGAAGAACAGTAGAACATTAGAACATCAGAAGAACAGTAGAACATCAGAAGAACAGTAGAACATTAGAACATCAGAAGAACAGTGGAACAGTAGAACATTAGAACAGTAGAACAGTAGAACATAGAACATTAGAACATCAGAAGAACATTAGAACATCAGAAGAACAGTAGAACATCAGAAGAACAGTAGAACATTAGAACATCAGAAGAACAGTGGAACATTAGAACATCAGAGGAACAGTGGAACATTAGAACATCAGAGGAACAGTGGAACATTAGAACATCAGAAGAACAGTAGAACATTAGAACATCAGAGGAACAGTGGAACATTAGAACATCAGAGGAACAGTAGAACAGTGGAACATTAGAACATCAGAGGAACAGTGGAACATTAGAACATCAGAGGAACAGTGGAACATTAGAACATCAGAAGAACAGTAGAACATTAGAACATCAGAGGAACAGTGGAACATTAGAACATAGAACATAGAACAGAGAGGAACAGTAGAACAGTGGAACATTAGAACATCAGAGGAACAGTGGAACATTAGAACATCAGAGGAACAGTAGAACAGTAGAACATTAGAAGATCAGAGGAACAGTGGAACATTAGAACATCAGAGAGAACAGTAGAACATTAGAACATCAGAGGAACAGTGGAACATTAGAACATCAGAGGAACAGTAGAACATTAGAACATCAGAGGAACAGTGGAACATTAGAACATCAGAGGAACAGTGGAACATTAGAACATCAGAGGAACAGTAGAACATTAGAACATCAGAGGAACAGTAGAACATTAGAACATCAGAGGAACAGTAGAACATTAGAACATCAGAGGAACAGTGGAACATTAGAACATAGAACAGTGGAACATAGAACATCAGAGAACAGTAGAACATTAGAAGAACAGGAACATTAGAACATCAGAGGAACAGTGGAACATTAGAACATCAGAAGAACATTAGAACATCAGAGGAACAGTAGAACAGTGGAACATTAGAACATCAGAGGAACAGTGGAACATTAGAACATCAGAGGAACAGTAGAACATTAGAACATCAGAGGAACAGTGGAACATTAGAACATCAGAGGAACAGTAGAACAGACATGTAGATTACAGTTCAGGTTCAGTTCTGTGTGATGTTGGAGATTTAACTGGAGGATTATTGTTCATGATTTGTTTGCTGGTGAACTTAGTCTCTCCTCCTCCTGTCACTTCTTCACTGACTCTTCCTCCTCTTTGTCGTCTTCGTCCTCCTCGTCTTCGTCCTCGTCTTCGTCCTCGTCTTCGTCCTCGTCTTCGTCCTCTCGTCTTCGTCCTCGTCTTGGTCAGTCGTCTGCTGGTGACGGCCGGGGAGGATCGTTTCGTAAAGACCTGGGACCTTCGTCGTCTGTTTGAGCCGATCACACAACAGAAAAGAAACTTAAACACCGAGATCTGCTGGCCTCTGTTTGCCCCGGGGCTGTTGGTGAGCGAAGAGGCGGCCTACGCTGCGTGAGTACACACAAATATACACACAAGTACACAAATATACACAACATAGTACACACAAGTACACAAATATACACACAAATATACACAAATATACACAAAGTACACACACACACAAGTACACAAATATACACACAATATACACAAAGTACACAAAATACACACACACAAATTACACACAAGTACACAATATACACATAGTACACAATATACACACAACACAAGTACACAAATATACACACAAGTACACAAAATATACACACAAATATACACACAATATACACATAACAATATCACACAAATGTACACACACAAATATACACACACACAACAAATATACACACAAGTATACAACACACAATATATACACACAAGTACACAATATACACACAAATATATACACACAAGTACACAAATATACACACAAATATACAAATATACACACAAGTACAATCACAAATATACACACAAGTACACACAACATATACACAATATACACAAAGTATATACACACAAGTACACAAATATAACACACAAGTACACAAATATACACACAAATATACACACAAGTACACAAATATACACACAATATACACACAAGTACACACAATATACACACAATATACACACAAGTACACACAAGTACACACAATATACACACAATATACACACAATATACACACAAGTACACAAATATACACACAAATATACACACAAGTACACAAATATACACACAAGTACACAAATATACACACAAATATACACACAAGTACACAAATATACACACAAATATACACACAAGTACACAAATATACACACAAATATACACACAAGTACACAATATACACACAAATATACACACAAGTACACAAATATACACACACACAATATTACACACAAGTACACAAATATACACAAGTACACAAATATACACACAAATATATACACACAAGTACACACACAATATACACACAAGTACACACAAAGTACACAAATATACACACAATACACACACACAAAGTATCACACAAGTACACAAATATACACAAATATACACACAAGTATACACACAAGTATACACACAATATACACACAAGTACACACAATATACACACAATATACACACAATATACACACAAGTACACACAATATACACACAATATACACACAAGTACACAAATATACACACAAACACACACAATATGTACACACAAGTACACAAATATACACACAAGTACACAAATACAATATACACAAGTACACACAAAGTACACAATATACACAATACACAAATATACACACAAGTAATATACACACAATACACAAATATACACACAAGTACACAAATATAAACACACAAGTACACAAATAGTACACAAATATATACACAAGTACACAAAAATACACACAAATACACACAAATATATACACAAATATATACACACAATACACACAATACACACACACAAGTACACAAATCACACAAATATACACACAAGTACACAAATATACACACAAATATACACACAAGTACACAAATATACACACAAATATACACACAAGTACACAAATATACACAAGTACACAAATATACACACAAGTACACAAATATACACAAATATACACACAAATATACACACAAGTACACACAAGTACACACAAATACACACAAGTACACACATATACACAATATACACAAATATACACACAAATATACACACAAGTACACAAATATACACACAAGTACACAAATATACACACAAATATACACACAATATACACACAAGTACACACAAATATACACACACATAGTACACAATACAAGTACACAAATATACACACAAGTACACAAATATACACACAAGTACACACAAAATATACACACAAGTACACAAATATACACACTATACACAAATATACACAAATATACACACAAGTACAAATATAATACACACAAGTACACACAATATACACACAATATACACACAATATACACACAAGTACACACAATATACACACAAGTACACAAAATATACACACAAGTACACACAATATACACACAAGTACACAAATATACACACAAGTACACAAATATACACACAAGTACACACAATGTACACACAATATACACACAAGTACACACAATATACACACAAGTACACACAAATATACACACACAAGTACACAAATGTACACACAAGTACACACAAGTACACACAATATACACACAATATACACACAATATACACACAAGTACACACAATATAACACACAAGTACACAAATATACACACACAAGTACATACACACAATACACACAGAATATACACACAAGTACACAAATAGTACACACAAGTACACAAATATACACACAAGTACACAAATGTACACACAAGTACACACAAATATACACACATTAATATACACACAAGTACACACAATATACACACAAGTACACACACAAATATACACACAAGTACACAAATATACACACAAGTACACAAATGTATACACACAAGTACACAAATACACACAAAGTACACAAACATATACACACAAGTACACACAAATAATACACACAAGTACACACAAATATACACACAAGTACACAAATATACACACAAGTACACAAATATACACACAAGTACACACAAGTACACAAATATAGTACACAAAATACACACAAGTACACACAAGTACACAAAGTACACAAATATACACACAAGTACACAAATATACACACAAGTACACATACACAAATAATACACACAAGTACACAATATACACACATATACACACAAGTACACACAAATATACACACAAGTACACTAATATACACACAAGTACACTAATGTACACACAAGTACACACAAGTACACAAGTACACAAATGTACACACAAGTACACAAATGTACACACAAGTACACAAATATACACACAAGTACACAAATATACACACAAGTACACAAATATACACACAAGTACACAAATATACACACAAGTACACAAATATACACACAAGTACACAAATATACACACACAATAGTACACACAAGTACACACAAATATACACACAAGTACACAAATATACACACAAGTACACACAAATATACACACAAGTACACAAATATACACACAATATACACACAAGTACACACTAATGTACACACAAGTACACACAAATGTACACACAAGTACACACAAATGTACACACAAGTACACAAATATACACACAAGTACACAAATATACACACAAGTACACAAATATACACACAAGTACACAAATATACACACAAGTACACAATAATGTACACACAAGTACACAAATGTACACACAAGTACACAAATGTATACACACAAGTACACAAATATACACACAAGTACACAAAAATATACACAAATATACACACAAGTACACAAATATACACACAAGTACACAAATATACACACAAGTACACAAATGTACACACAAGTACACAAATGTACACACACACAAATATACACACAAGTACACAAATATACACACAAATATACACACAAGTACACAAATATACACACAAGTACACAAATATACACACAAGTACACAAATACACACAAGTACACAAGTACACACAAATATACACACAAGTACACAAATGTACACACAAATATACACACAAGTACACAAATATACACACAAGTACACAAATATACACACAAGTACACACAAATATACACACAAGTACACAGTACACACAATAGTACACACAAGTACACAAATGTACACACAAGTACACAAATGTACACAAATGTACACACAAGTACACAAATATACACACAAGTACACAAATACACACAAATACACACAATACACACAAGTACACAAATACACACAAGTACACAAATATACACACAAGTACACAAAATACACACACAAGTACACAAAGTACACACACACAAGTACACAATATACACAAATATACACACAAAGTACACAAATACACAAATACACAATACACACAAGTATACACACAAAGTACACAAATATACACACAAGTACACACAAGTACACAAATATACACACAGACATATACCAGTATAGTAACACAATGACATGAGGTTCTTGGTGAGTGTTTCATTTTCTCGCCGCTGTGTGTTTACACTCTTATTTATGTTAAAGTTCATATTATTTATGTTTTCGTGTTAATATTTGATGTTTTGTCAGATACACGACTCACGGGGTGCATTTCTACGACCACCACATGACGGCGCTGTTCCCCGTCCCTCGCGCTGGGACCATGTGGGTGAGTCTTTCACTTTGAGGTCGCACAGTTTGGATGCGGCCGGTGTCGTTTGTGTCTAACCTGCGCTCACTTCCTGCTCCTCATGTCACTTCCTGTTTCAGTCCATGGCGTACTCTGATTGGCTGAACTTTGTGGCGACCGGCGACACTCTGGGGGAGATGGTTCTGTGCACGCTGCCTCTGCTCACGCTGCAGTCGCCCAACTGCAAACGCACCATCGAGAGGAGATTCGTAAGACTCAACACTATATTTTATTGAGTCATTTGACAGGGACAAAAGGTGCAGGCGCAGGGGCAGGTGCAGGTGCAGGCGCAGGGCGCAGGTGCAGGCGCAGGTGCAGGAGCAGGCGCAGGTGCAGGTGCAGGTGCAGGTGCAGGCGCAGGCGCAGGTGCAGGTGCAGGCGCAGGTGCAGTCACACACAGTCACAGGCAGAACATGCAGCTGAAGCGGCGCAGATACAGTTTGTTTTTTGTTTTTTGGGGGTTTGTGTTTGAGTTACTTTGAGTTAAATTGAAATCATGTTTTTTCTCTCAGTCTCTGTTTTTCTTTTTCTCTTTCTTTTGCAGCCGATTCAGTTTTCTTCACTGGTGCCGCTAAAAACCATCGAAGAAGAAGAAGAACCGTCACAGGAAGTGCCTCAGACGGAGAGCGGTGAAGGGGGCGGGACAGGAAGTGAAAATGTAGAAACCCCGAACCTCAGCGACCCCCAAGAGTTCAGACCCGACGCCTACGTCGACACGGCTCAGAGACACAGCCTCCTGCTGACCGACTTCAACCTGGTACTGACCCCTGACCCCTGACCCCCGACCTCCTGCTGACCGACTTCAACCTGGTACTGACCTCTGACCCCCGACCCCTGATCCTTCACCTCCCACCAAACCCTCCCCCTCCTTCTCCTCGTCCTGCTCTTCTTCTCTCCCTCCTCCTGCAGTAGTAGTATTAGTACTTGTAGTACTAGTAGTACTCATAGTACTTGTAGTACTTGTGTAGTACTAGTATAACGTGTGTGTTTCCTCAGTGTTCCGTGCTGCAGTACCTGTAGTACTTGTAGTACTTGTAGTACTTGTAGTACTTGTAGTACTTGTAGTACTAGTATAACGTGTGTGTTTCCTCAGTGTTCCGTGCTGCAGTACCTGTAGTATTTGTAGTATTTGTAGTACTTGTAGTACTAGTATAACGTGTGTGTTTCCTCAGTGTTCCGTGCTGCAGTACCTGTAGTATTTGTAGTATTTGTAGTACTTGTAGTACTAGTATAACGTGTGTGTTTCCTCAGTGTTCCGTGCTGCAGTACCTGTAGTACTTGTAGTACTTGTAGTACTTGTAGTACTAGTATAACGTGTGTGTTTCCTCAGTGTTCTGTGCTGCAGTACCTGTAGTATTTGTAGTATTTGTAGTACTTGTAGTACTAGTATAACGTGTGTGTTTCCTCAGTGTTCTGTGCTGCAGTACCTGTAGTATTTGTAGTATTTGTAGTACTTTGTAGTACTTGTAGTACTAGTATAACGTGTGTGTTTCCTCAGTGTTCTGTGCTGCAGTACCTGTAGTATTTGTAGTATTTGTAGTACTTGTAGTACTAGTATAACGTGTGTGTTTCCTCAGTGTTCCGTGCTGCAGTACCTGTAGTATTTGTAGTATTTGTAGTACTTGTAGTACTTAGTACTAGTATAACGTGTGTGTTTCCTCAGTGTGTTCCGTGCTGCAGTACCTGTAGTATTTGTAGTATTTGTAGTACTTGTAGTACTAGTATAAACGTGTGTGTTTCCTCAGTGTTCCGTGCTGCAGTACCTGTAGTATTTGTAGTATTTGTAGTACTTGTAGTACTAGTACTAGTATAACGTGTGTGTTTCCTCAGTGTTCCGTGCTGCAGTACCTGTAGTATTTGTAGTACTTGTAGTACTTGTAGTACTTGTAGTACTAGTATAACGTGTGTGTTTCCTCAGTGTTCTGTGCTGCAGTACCTGTAGTATTTGTAGTATTTGTAGTATTTGTAGTACTTGTAGTACTAGTATAACGTGTGTGTTTCCTCAGTGTTCTGTGCTGCAGTACCTGTAGTATTTGTAGTATTTGTAGTACTTGTAGTACTTGTAGTACTAGTATAACGTGTGTGTTTCCTCAGTGTTCCGTGCTGCAGTACCTGTAGTATTTGTAGTATTTGTAGTACTTGTAGTACTAGTATAACGTGTGTGTTTCCTCAGTGTTCCGTGCTGCAGTACCTGTAGTATTTGTAGTATTTGTAGTACTTGTAGTACTAGTATAACGTGTGTGTTTCCTCAGTGTTCCGTGCTGCAGTACCTGTAGTATTTGTAGTACTTGTAGTACTTGTAGTACTAGTAGTACTAGTATAACGTGTGTGTTTCCTCAGTGTTCTGTGCTGCAGTACCTGTAGTATTTGTAGTATTTGTAGTATTTGTAGTACTTGTAGTACTAGTATAACGTGTGTGTTTCCTCAGTGTTCGTGCTGCAGTACCTGTAGTATTTGTAGTATTTGTAGTACTTGTAGTACTTGTAGTACTAGTATAACGTGTGTGTTTCCTCAGTGTTCTGTGCTGCAGTACCTGTAGTATTTGTAGTATTTGTAGTACTTGTAGTACTACTTGTAGTACTAGTATAACGTGTGTGTTTCCTCAGTGTTCGTGCTGCAGTACCTGTAGTATTTGTAGTATTTGTAGTACTTGTAGTACTTGTAGTACTAGTATAACGTGTGTGTTTCCTCAGTGTTCTGTGCTGCAGTACCTGTAGTATTTGTAGTACTTGTAGTACTTGTAGTACTAGTATAACGTGTGTGTTTCCTCAGTGTTCCGTGCTGCAGTACCTGTAGTATTTGTAGTATTTGTAGTACTTGTAGTACTTGTAGTACTAGTATAACGTGTGTGTTTCCTCAGTGTTCCGTGCTGCAGTACCTGTAGTATTTGTAGTATTTGTAGTACTTGTAGTACTTGTAGTACTAGTATAACGTGTGTGTTTCCTCAGTGTTCCGTGCTGCAGTTCGCTCGTCGCCCCCTGTGGAAGAAGATGAGAAGTGTCGAGTCTAAAGGTTCACTGAGACTCGACGACTTTCCCCTGACGGCTCTGCACAAGGTCTGGACTAAACCGGGACTAAACCGGGACTAAACCGGGACTAAACCGGGACTAAACCGGGACTGAACCAGGTCTAAACGAGCTCTGTGAGCGCGGCGTCTCACACTGGAGCAGGTACGAGTCAGATCTGCGATTGCGGCGTCTCGGAGTCAGTGACAGAACAAAGATGAAACTAATGACCCAGAAAATGAGAAAATGTCTCCTGGAGCCTAACGGCGTTTACATCAGAGCTGTTTAAGAGGAACGAGAGAAGCTCAGGGAGAGAGAGAGAGAGAGACGAGAGGAGGAGAGGAGAGAGAGAGAGAGAGAGAGAGGAGAGAGAGAGAGAGGAGGAGAGGAGAGAGAGGAGAGAGGGAGAGGAGAGGAGAGAGGAGAGAGGAGGAGAGAGGAGGAGAGAGGAGAGGGAGAGGAGAGGAGAGAGAGGGAGGAGGAGAGAGGAGAGAGGGAGAGGAGAGGAGGGAGGAGGAGAGGAGAGAGGGAGGAGGAGAGAAGAGAGGGAGAGGAGAGAGAGAAGAGAGGGAGGAGAGAGAGAAGAGGGAGAGAGAGGGAGGAGGAGAGAGAGAGAGGAGGAGAGGAGGAGAGAGAGAGGAGGAGGAGAGGAGAGGAGGAGGAGGAGAGAGAGGGAGGAGGAGAGGAGAGAGGGAGGAGGAGGAGGAGAGGGAGAGGAGGAGAGAGGAGAGAGAGAGAGAGAGAGGAGAGAGGGAGAGGGGAGAGAGAGAGGAGAGAGGAGAGAGGGAGAGGAGGAGAGGAGGGAGGAGGAGGAGGAGGAGGAGAAGAGGGAGGAGGAGAGAAAGAGAGAGAGGAGAGAAGAGGGGAGAGGAGAGGAGAGAGGGAGAGGAGAGGAGAGAGGAGAGGAGGAGAGGAGAGAGGAGGAGGAGAGGAGAGAGGGAGGAGGAGAGAAGAGAGGGAGGAGGAGAGGAGAGAGGGAGGAGAGAGAGGAGAGGAGAGGAGAGGAGAGAGGAGGAGAGAAGAGGGGAGAGGAGAGGAGAGAGAGAGAGGAGAGGAGAAGAGAGGAGAGGAGGAGAGGAAGAGAGAGAGAGGAGAGAGAGAGGGAGGAGGAGAGGAGAGAGGGAGGAGAGGAGAGAGGGAGAGAGGGAGGAGGAGAGGAGAGAGATGGACAGAAGAGGAGGAGGGGGGGATTGGGGGATTTTAGATCACTTTTGTTTAAGACGAGACCATGAGCCTCAGGGGAAGAAGAGATGGACAGATGAGGAGGAGAGAAGGACAGAAGAGAGGAGAAAGGGAGGGAGGGAGGAGGAGGAGGTCATTTTGGATGATCTCAGTTAAAGAGAAAACTGTAAAGCCTCAGGACGGATGGACGGATGAGAGAGGAGAGGAGCAAGAAAGAGATGAAGGGAGGAAGTGGAGGGAAGAAGAGGAGACTTCAGGGCATAATGATGGACAGACAGGAGAAAGAGAGAACGAGAGGAGGAGGAGAAGGAGGAGAGACTGTGCTTCAGGGTACAAGGATGGAGAGATGGAGGAGAGAGGAGAGAAAGATGGAGAGGGGGGGGGGGGTGAAGAGTTTAAAAAAGGCAATGAGATTTATTTGTGTGGAGAAAGAATCGACCTGAAACTTTAAACCTGCTGAGTCAAGACGCACAAAACTAAACAAAACACAAAACTAAACTAAACAAAACACAAAACTAAACAAAACTAAACACAAAACTAAACAAAACAAAACACAAAACTAAACTAAACAAACACAAAACTAAACTAAACTAAACACAAAACTAAACAAAACAAAACACAAAACTAAACAAACAAACACAAAACTAAACTAAACAAAACACAAAACTAAACTAAACAAAACACAAAACTAAACAAAACTAAACACAAAACTAAACTAAACTAAACACAAAACTAAACTAAACAAAACACAAAACTAAACTAAACTAAACACAAAACTAAACTAAACAAAACACAAAACTAAACTAAACTAAACACAAAACTAAACTAAACTAAACACAAAACTAAACTAAACACAAAACTAAACTAAACTAAACAAAACTAAACTAAACAAAACACAAAACTAAACTAAACTAAACACAAAACTAAACTAAACTAAACACAAAACTAAACTAAACTAAACTAGAAAAGCTCTCAGAGAGCGCAGACCTCCGCCAAGGACTACCCCCAGTTTTTATATAAATTGCGATAAAATCAGTCTTGTGGATCAGATCCGGATCAGCCTTTGGAATGTGAAAGAGGATCCCATTGTCCATCCCTGAGTCAAATTTCATGGGGTTTGGTCAATAATTAATCGAGATATTGAGAAACAAACATTTTGGCCCCATTTACCACAATGTTAACAAAAATTTCAAAGTGATGCAGAATCCAGGATTTCTTCTGGATCAGCCCCAAAATGAAATCAGTTCTTCCTTTTCACATTTCCAACAAATCCTGAAAATTTCATCAAAATCGGTCCATAACTTTTTGAGTTATGTTGCTAACAGACAAACAAACAAACAAACAAACAAACAAACAAACAGACAAACAAACAAACACAAACAAACAACAAAAACAACAGACAAACAACAACAAAACAGACAAACAGACAAACAGACAAACAAACAAACAAACAACAAACAGACAAACAGACAAACAAACAACAAACAGACAAACAAACAAACGACAAACAAACAGACAAACAACAACAAACAGACAAACAAACAGACAAAAACAAACAGACAAACAAACAGAAAAACAGACAAACAAACAGAAAAACAGACAAACAAACAAACAAACAGACAAACAAACAGAAAACAGACAAACAAACAGACAAACACAACAAACAAACAGACAAACAAACAGACAAACAGACAAACAAACAAACAAACAACAACAACAAAACAAACAAACAACAACACAGACAAACAGACAAACAAACAACAAACAAACAACAAACAAACAGACAAACAAACAACAAACAGACAAACAGAACAAACAAACAAACACAACAAACAAACAAACAGACAAACAAACAAACAGACAAACAAACAAACAGACAAACAAACAACAGACAAACAAACAGACAAACGCCGGCAAAAACATCCTCCTTGGTGGAGGTAATTAAAACGACACTAAACTGACGCCGCTCGTTTGTTGCAGTGAAAAGCGTCTGGTTCATGAATCTGTCCGAGCGTCTCACAGTCGAGTCTCTGTTCAGTTTGTGTTTAATATTTGATCCACGTCGTCTGAGACGCTAACAGGAGGCACTGCTCTGTCTGAACCTCTGTGAGACGCTAACAGGAGGCACTGCTCTGTCTGAACCTCTGTGAGACGCTAACAGGAGGCACTGCTCTGTCTGAACCTCTGAGACGCTAACAGGAGGCACTGCTCTGTCTGAACCTCTGAGACGCTAACAGGAGGCACTGCTCTGTCTGAACCTCTGAGACGCTAACAGGAGGCACTGCTCTGTCTGAACCTCTGTGAGACGCTAACAGGAGGCACTGCTCTGTCTGACGCTGCTCAAACTCGACTTTTTTATTTTCCTAAACAGTTTTCAGACAATCTCAAATTTTTAATAATGTGTGGATTGTGTCTCCATGGTAACAGCTGAAGATTCCACCATAGACACACAGGCAGAACACCCCCAGTGTAATGTCACTGTAAAGTATCAATGAAGCATTTTATGGGCCGATCATCAGGAAGAGCGTGTTGGCATGCTAGTTGCAGTTCACTTTACACTCTGGTCTGTGAGAGTGAAAAGTGTTTCTGAATAATTCAGATGTTCTGAAACTTTGGACGACAACAAACTGTTTCAGATGAACCACTTTTGTTTTTCACATTTTAAGACATAAAAATCAAGTCGAGACGTTCTGACGTTGGCGTTTCTCTCCAGGTTCGGTTCAGCCCAAACTTCTCGTCGCGCACGTGGATGGCGTCCGGCGGCCAGAGCGGCCTCGTGCGCCTCTTCTGTGTCCAGTGTGCAAACTTCAAACCCGGCGCCAAGTCCGGTCCAGAGGAGGCCCCGCCCACAGAGGAGGCCCCGCCCACCGCCGAGTCCGGTCCAGAGGAGGCCCCTCCCACAGAGGAGGCCCCGCCCACAGAGGAGGCCCCACCCACCGCTAAGACCGGTCCGGACGAAGCCCTGACCGGCTCCAAGTCTGCCCCAGAACTGAGCTCCGAGCTTGGGCACGATGACCAGGCACTGCCCCTATAACCCCGGAGCAGCCGGGGCGGGACAGACAGACAGGTTTAGTAACACAAACCAGGACTAAACCAGGACTAAACCAGGTCTAAACCAGGTCTAAACCAGGACTGAACCAGGACTGAACCAGGTCTAAAATGAGATTAAATCAGGACTAAACCAGGACTGAGTAACTGCAAAATAATTATTATCAAATTAACTTCACATTAATGTTGTATTTTTATTGCAAACTTTTAAAAAATATTTTTTCTTTTGTCTTAAAATAATGACTTCACACTGGAGCCTACGAAATGTTCTCCTGTCTCTGCTCCTGTCAGCACCTGTCTGCTCCTGTCTGCTCCTGTCAGCACCTGTCTACACCTGTCTACACCTGTCTGCTCCTGTCTACACCTGTCTGCTCCTGTCTGCTCCTGTCCTGTCGTCTGCTCTCCATGTTTTAGTTTTATTTTATACTTTTTTGTCACTTTCTTTAAACTCAAACTCAGGCAGATACTTGAACACTTTTTACTGTAATTTTCTAGTTCAAATGTTTTTCTCTTTAAAATTGTTTTTGTTTTTGCATTTTTCTGAAACTTGAACATTTTTATTCTAAATTAAAGACGGGATATTGTGCTAAATCATTTTCTTTACCTTTCTAATGAGTTATGACTCGTCTGAAGAGGATTTAGAGTCACCCACGCATGTCTGAGTAATCTAGGGATCTTAATCCACAGTCTGAATGAGGCTCCGCCCACATGCTCCCACAGTACGAGTCTGTACGAGGCTCCGCCCTCAGGCTCCTACACGACAGTTCTTCATAAAAACACAAAGACACAAAACTGAGCACAACAAGACAAACCTGATGTTTGTGCAGGAGTTTCATCAGTGGGACGCTCTGAAGGGGGAGTGGGTCAGCACAGACAGGCTGAGTGTTGGGATAGTGCTCTGAAGGGGGAGTGGGTCAGCACAGAGAGTAAAGGGAGGGGAGAAGTACAGTATTCTGTCTTTCAGGAGCGTTTGTAATATTGTGTAGATTTGAATTCCTTTTATTGTTTTTGTAAATAGAATTGTAAGATTTATTCATTTCTATTATCCAAAATGTTTAATAAATATTTTGTATTAAACATGTTTTACTTTTTTTTTAGAAGTTTAATCATTTTATTCGGTCATTTTGCAGCACGACAATAAACAAAACAAACCCAGACTCCAGCCCCTGGATCAGACCAAAGAGTTTAGTCTGAAAGAAAAGTTTTTCTAACACGAAACCTGAAAAACGAGAAAGAAAAACAGCATCTGAAGTTTGAGTTTTCAGTTTCACTCATGACTTATTATAAATATAAGAGACAAAATATCAATTAAATTTAGTTTGTTTTCATTTATAATTCATTCCAGAGCTCGTGATCTTTAAAACACTTTATTTTCTTTTTTTTAAGCTTTTACAGGCTTAGACTTTTTAAAATCATCTCAGGTCGTTCCACAGACTCACCTCCAGCAAAATACAAGAACTTTTTTCTTAGTTCTTCATTTTTTTGTCAGTTGCCAGTTTTTGTTTTTATTTTTTATTTTTTCGTTTATGGTCATACAAATTAATAATGATAAAGGCACAAGTTTATCGTTCATGATCGTATCAAAATGTACTGGAAGGAATGTAACGATTTTTTCTTTTTGTTTCTGTCACGGGGTCAGAGGTCACAGGTGATCAGAGGTCACAGGGTCAGAGGTCACAGGAGGGCGGTGTGCAGTCTTTGTTTATTCGACTTTACAAAACGTCACATAAAAATACGAGACAGACACAGAGACAGACTTTAAACTTCATATTTACAAAAATTATTCACATTAAAGCTTCATTATGTAACATTTCTGACGTAGGGTCTCCCGCCTGCTCGTCTCCATGGAGATGTTTTTTACTGCTTTGTCTGAAATGTTCCACAGTCTGGCATTAATCCTGTCCATGTCACATTTATTTAATTACTCAGAAATACCTGGATTAAAAAATAGATTCTCCACAGATCTGACCTGTAACTTTGTTTATAAACAAATCTGTCTCCATGGAAACGAGCAGGCGACGCTGAGCAGATCTGACCTGTAAGTGTGCGACACCTGCTCGTTTCCATGGAGACGGGTCACGTTAAAGTCCCTGGGCCTGATTTTCACCGCGTTTGTGTGTTTGTGTTTGTGTGTTTTTTGTGTTTTGCGTTTGTGTAGATTGTATAAGGTCAATATAAGTTTGCTGTTCTTTGTGAGAATCAGGAAGTGCGCTTTAGCATGCTAGTGGCTGTTGGCTTTAACAGGTCAGTGAGGAATAACTTTGGAAGATGAGGTACAGCACCTTTAATGTCGTATTGTGGAACATTCCTGTAGAGACGAGCAGGAGGTGCACCGGTCACAGGAAAAGTTACGCAGTGCGGCTTTAAACTAACAGGTAAATTGACATATTTACAACATGTTTTCAGACGGAGACGGACACGGCATCAACACGGCATTCGACACATCGACTCATTTAAACGACAAAAACGACAAACACAAAATGGCCGCTACATTCACTGCTTCTTCCTTTAAATCTTTGTGACGTTATGAAAATATATTTTTTCTCTGATGACTCTGGCAGTTTCTGTACAACAGCGAACACTCATGCATTTGGATTGGAACACTTTGTGACATCATCGGGTGGGGGGTGTGTCCACTGGATCTTTTCATAAACTGGGTTGGGTCAGATGCCCGTTCAGCCGAAACACGAGTGAGTCCGTTTCCTGTCGGTGATTTCAGACGTGACCAGGTGGATTCAAGTGCATTGGACAAGAGTTTGTGTCGTTACTTTTAAGAATTTCATAAAAATCTTATCTACACTTTTCTAGTTTTTAAATTTGGTGAAATTTCAACCATCAACTGTTTTATATAAATGTATAAGTAAATGTGTAAATAAATCTGTAAATAAATGTATAAATAAATGTATAAGTAAATGATACTTTTATTTTGTGAAATGAAGGTTTGAAGTGTCAGAAAAAGTCTTTCTTGTGCCTAAACTGTCCCTGCAGTTTTCCTGTTGATGACAGAGGGATTCTGTTTTTGTACTTCTTCTTACACACACACACACACAGACACACACACACACACACACAGACACACACACACACACACACACAGACACACACAGACACACACAGACACACACACACACAGACACACACAGACACACACACACACAGGACACACACACAGACACACATACACACACACACACACACACACACACACACACACACACACAGACACACACACACAGACACACACACAGACACACACACAGACACACACACAGACACACACACACATACACACACACAGACACACACACACACACACACACACACACACACACAGACACACACACAGACACACACACAGACACACACAGACACACACACATACACACACACACACACACACACACAGACACACACACACACCGACAGATTCCAGATTCTTCTGGATTCACCAAACCTGCTCAGACTGATTTCTGTTTCACGCTGAACAGATTTTTCTTCACATTGATGATTTGATTGGTGGAAGCGTCACAACAGTGAAACAAGACGAAAAATTAATCTTGAATTAAATTCAGAGAAAAACTCAGACGTCAAAACTCTTCCTCTGCACGAGTTTCACAAACTAAAGAATCCAGATTGACACTAAAATAACCTGAAGTGCGTCTGTCTGCGTCGCCATGTTTGTTTTAGTTCATTTGGGCGCTTCATCTCAGAGGCGGGTCACTCAGGGTCACTCAGGAGGGTCACTCAGGAGGGTCACTCAGGAGGGTCACTCAGACGGGTCACTCAGAGGGTCACGGGTCACTCAGACGGGTCACGGGTCACTCAGGAGGGTCACTCAGGAGGGTCACTCAGGAGGGTCACTCGGGTCACTCAGGAGGGTCACTCAGACGGGTCACTCAGGAGGGTCACTCAGGAGAGGGTCACTCGGGTCACTCAGGAGGGTCACTCAGGAGGGTCACTCAGGAGGGTCACTCAGACGGGTCACTCAGGAGGGTCACTCAGGAGGGTCACTCAGACGGGTCACTCAGACGGGTCACTCAGGGTCACTCAGGAGGGTCACTCAGGACGGGTCACTCAGAGGCGGGTCACAGGGTCATATGTTTTTTTTGTGTTTAGTTTTGAATCTTCAGTTGAATCTTTTCTCCTGAGCTGCTGTGGGAGGTTCACACTGAAGTCACCGTAGATCAGAGCCACAAGATTTTCAAAATCAAAAACTGGGACGTTTCTGTTTTTTTTTAAGGTTGGTAAAAATAAAATAGTGTGAAATTAAGTAAAACTGTTTTGTTCTTGGTCCATTTATGACAAACATGAGTCAGTGTCGTCATATTTTCTTTGTGTTTTGTCATTTTTCAGCAGCTTTTCTCTATTTTTCTCAAACACTTTGACAGTTTCTGTCTCTTTACGGCTGCAGGATCAGATTGGTCCAAAAAAGACACCTGGGACTTTTCTTGTGTAAAATTGGGTTTTGTATAAATCCGCAGGGACAGGGGACACAGGACAAACTGGGACTGTCCCCGGGGAAATGGACGACTGTTCCCTCTATCACAGATGCACCAATGAAAGAGTGAAATAAAGTAGAGCGCACTCATCCGTCTGTCTGAGCCGAGCACAGATCAGGCTCACGGCGGCAGAGTGGTTAGCTCTGAGTGAGACGAATGAAGCAGGGACAGGAAACACGGACACTCCTCTGAAGAGACGTTCATTTATCAACAACCTTCTCCCTCTCCTCTTTCCTCCATCCACCCACTCTCTCTCTTTCTCTCCTGTCTCTTTCTCTTTTCTCGCCTTTTGTTTTTTTCTCGTCTTTTGTTTTTACTCTGAGTTTCTGCAGAACATGTTTAAAGACGTCAGAGCTGCCGTGTCTGTCAGGAAGGGCATCTGGACTAATTTTCTACATGGTGATGTGCAGTGTGTGTGTGTGTTGGAGCTTGGACCTGTTTCTCTGTGTAGTTGTGTGTGTGTGCATGTGTCAGTGTGTGTGTGTGTGTGTGTGTGTATGTGTGTGTGTTGTGTGTGTGTGTGTGTGTGTGTGTGTGTGTGTGTGTGTGTGTGTGTGTGTGTGTGTGTGTGTGTGTGTGTGTGTGTGTGTGTGTGTGTGTGTGTGTGTGTGTGTGTGTGTGTGTGTGTGTGTGTGTGTGTGTGTGTCTGTGTGTGTTGTGTGTGTGTGTGTGTGTGTGTGTGTGTGTGTGTGTGTGTGTGTGTGTCTGTGTGTGTGTGTGTGTGTGTGTGTGTGTGTGTGTGTGTGTGTGTGTGTGTGTGTGTGTGTGTGTGTGTGTGTGTGTGTGTGTGTGTGTGTGTGTGTGTGTGTGTGTGTGTGTGTGTGTGTTGTGTGTGTGTTGTGTGTGTGTGTGTGTGTGTGTGTTGTGTGTGTGTGTGTGTGTGTGTGTGTGTGTGTGTGTGTGTGTGTGTGTGTGTGTGTGTGTGTGTGTGTGTGTGTGTGTGTGTGTGTGTGTGTGTGTGTGTGTGTGTGTGTGTGTTGTGTGTGTGTGTGTGTGTGTGTGTGTGTGTGTGTGTGTGTGTGTGTGTGTTGTGTGTGTGTGTGTGTGTGTGTGTGTGTGTGTGTGTGTGTGTGTGTGTGTGTGTGTGTGTGTGTGTGTGTGTGTGTGTGTGTGTGTGTGTGTGTGTGTGTGTGTGTGTGTGTGTGTGTGTGTGTGTGTGTGTGTGTGTGTGTTGTGTGTGTGTTGTGTGTGTGTGTGTGTGTGTGTGTGTGTGTGTGTGTGTGTGTGTGTGTGTGTGTGTGTGTGTGTGTGTGTGTGTGTGTGTGTGTGTGTGTGTGTGTGTGTGTGTGTGTGTGTGTGTGTGTGTGTGTGTGTGTGTGTGTGTGTGTGTGTGTTTCTCGGGGCAGTGGACCTGTGGCTCGTGTTTGGTCTTTCTCCTTTTTTACTTTTTTTTACATTTCACCGTTTTTGGTTTAAAGGAAAAGTTTATGCACCAAATCTGGGTCATTGGTCCAAAGTATGAGTTTGGTTTGAGTCTGGTTCAGTCCTGGTCCTGGTCCAGTCTTGGTTCAGTCCTGGTTTGGTCCCGATTCAGTCCTATGGGTCCTGACAGTCTTGGTCCAGTCCTGGTTCTGTCCTATTTCGGTCCTGGTTCAGTCCTGATCCTGGTTCAGTCCTGGTCCGGTCCTGGTCCAGTCCTGGTCCGGTCCTGGTCCAGTCCTGGTCTGGTCCTGGTTCAGTCCTGGTTCGGCCCTGGTTCAGTCCTGATCCTGGTCTAGTCCTGGTTCAGTCCTGTGGGTCCTGACAGTCCTGGCATTGGTCCATCTCGGGGTTGTAGGTTTCCACTTGGACAGTGGAGCTGCTGAAGCCAAACTTGTGGTGGAGCAAATCTGTGGCCTCGTCCAGGACAGACTGAGGATCCGCCCCTTCGTCTGAGGAGAGAGAGACCGGGTCAGGACGAGAACCAGGTCTAAAAACAGGTCTAAACCAGGACTACAGCAGGTGTTACCTATAGCGAGGTGCACAGACACCAGGCTGTGGCCGACGCTCAGGGCCCACAGGTGCAGACAGTGAACAGACTTCACCGACGACACAGACAGAAGAACCTCCTTCACCGACTTAAACTGGATCTCCTTTGGACAACCTGAAGAACAACAACAAGAACCTGATGAACATGAGAAGAACCTGAAAACATCTGGGAGGAGGTAGAGGAGGTTCTGTTCCCAGACTCACTAAGAGCTTCATCCTCTTTACTGTCAGGAGCTGAACTCTCCCGTCTCTGACCATCGAGCGGCCAGGAAACTACGAAACTTTGTCTCACTAAAGAAGAACTTGGGACTTTTCCTTTTATTTTATTATTATTGCTTTAGAAGATTGAGAGTGAGAATATAATTACAATTTTTCATATGTTCATAAGAAAATGTACAATAAACTTTTGAATTGAGAATCGGATTGAATCAAATCAGTGAAATTTGCAGTTTTGTAGGATTCTTCTGTATTTTCTCGTCAGTACCTTCCATGAGGATCCTGAAGACGTCTCTGAGGATGGTGATGGTGGTGCAGAGGACGAAGGCAGAGAACAGAAACGTACAGATGGGGTCCGCCACTTTATACTCCGGCTGAAATACAAAAGTACACAGAAAATACTTTAAATACTTCACAGGGACAAGTGAAGTAATCTACAAGATTTAAATGTATTATAATGTGTTCTTCTGTCGTTTCCTCGTCACACACACCTGGATTTGTGTTTTTGTGTTTTTGTGTTTTGTGTTTTTGTGTTTTTGTGTTTTGTTTTTGTGTTTTTTGTGTTTTTGTGTTTTTGTTTTGTGTTTTGTGTTTTGTGTTTTGTGTTTTGTGTTTTTGTGTTTTTGTGTTTTGTGTTTTTTGTGTTTTGTGTTTTTTGTATTTTGTGTTTTTGTGTTTTTGTGTTTTGTTTCATTCACATGTTTCAACATTCAACACGAGTTCTTCTCTCAAACTAAAGTCGTCTTGTCGTCTCGGCGGGTGGAGAGTCTCTGCCTCAAGTGGATGAGTTCAAGTGTCTCTGGGTCTTGTTCTCGAGGTGAGGATGGAGCAAGAGACTGACAGGTGGACAGGTGCAGCGTGGGCAGATTGACAGGTGGACAGGTGCAGCGTGAGACTGACAGGTGGACAGGTGCAGCGTCCGGGCGTCTCCCTTAGAGACAGAGGTCGGAGCTCGGAGTAGAGCCGCTGCTCCTCCACGTGGAGAGGAGCGTCTGAGGGGAGGACGTCTGTTCTGACGTCTCCTGGACGTGTCCCTCAGGAGGTGTTCATGTCCCACCAGGAGGAGAAGACCCAGGACACACTGGAGGGACCATGTCTCTGGACTGGACTGGGAACACCTCAGGTCCCACTGGAGGAGCTGGAGGAAGTGTCTGGGGTGAAGGAAGTCTGGGAGTTTCTGTTCAGACTGATGCTCCGAGACCCGACCCCAGAGAAGAAGAAGAACATGGAGGATGCAACGTCTCTCAAACAGAACAGGAAGTGCTCCACTGTGTTTTTAAACTCCACACTTCACCTTCACTAGAATCACCTGGAACATTTCAGTCCTGGAGTTTTGATCTCGACTCAACTAAAGGGAAAAGGAGCTGTTCACTTGATGACATCACAGGGTGAAATAGAGTGTTTGGAGTTTTGCAGATGTAACAGACTCAGAATAAAGAAACAAACAAACACAAGTCCAGCTCTAAGTGTGACCAGGAACAACACAACAACACGACAACACGACAACACAACAACAACACAACAACACAACAACACGACAACACGCAACAACACGACAACAACAACAACAACACAACAACACAACAACACGACAACAACAACAACAACAACAACACGACAACAACAACAACAACAACAACACACGACAACACAACAACAACACGACAACACAACAACAACAACAACAACACGACAACACAACAACAACAACAACACGACAACACAACAACACGACAACAACAAACAACAACACGACAACAACACAACAACGACAACAACACGACAACAACAACAACAACAACACAACAACACGAACAACAACAGACAACACGACAACACAACAACACAACAACACAACAACAACAACAACACAACAACAACACGACAACAGAACAACAACAACAACAACACAACAACACAACAACAACAGAACAACAACAACAACAGAACAACACAACACAACAACACAACAACACACAACACACAACAACACACAACAACACACAACACGACAACACAACAACAACACAACAACAGAACAACACAACAACACAACAACAACAACACGACAACACAACAACACAACAACAACAACACAAACAACAGAACAACACAACAACAACAACACAACAACAGAACAACATAACAACACAACAACACAACAACAGAACAACAACAACAACACAACAACACAACAACAACAACAACACAACAACAGAACAACATAACAACACAACAACAGAACATGGTTAAAGTTCCCCAGGAGTGAGTTCCGTGTGATGTTCCGTGTGATGTTCCGTGTGATGTTCCGTGTGATGTTCTGTGTGATGTTCCGTGTGATGTCCGTGTGATGTGATGTTCCGTGTGATGTTCCGTGTGATGTTCCGTGTGATGTTCCGTGTGATGTTCCGTGTGATGTTCTGTGTGATGTTCCGTGTGATGTTCTGTGTGATGTTCCGTGTGATGTTCCGTGTGATGTTCCGTGTGATGTTCCGTGTGTTGTTCCGTGTGATGTTCCGTGTGATGTTCTGTGTGATGTTCCGTGTGATGTTCTGTGGATGTTCTGTGTGATGTTCTGTGTGATGTTCTGTGTGATGTTCTGTGTGATGTTCTGTGTGATGTTCCGTGGGATGTTCCGTGTGATGTTCCGTGGGATGTTCTGTGGGATGTTCTGTGGGATGTTCTGTGTGATGTTCTGTGTGATGTTCCGTGTGATGTTCCGTGGGATGTTCCGTGTGATGTTCCGTGGGATGTTCCTGTGTGATGTTCCGTGTGTGATGTTCTGTGTGATGTTCTGTGTGATGTTCTGTGTGATGTTCTGTGTGATGTTCCGTGGGATGTTCTGTGTGATGTTCTGTGTGATGTTCTGTGTGATGTTCTGTGGTGATGTTCCTGTGTGATGTTCTGTGGGATGTTCTGTGGGATGTTCCGTGTGATGTTCCGTGGGATGTTGGAGCTTCATGAGGCGTTTCGTGCTTCTCTTCGTGCTGCAGATGAAGAACAGACTGTTCTGTGTTTTTGCCCCGAGCCTGAACCTCCTGCTGCACCTGAGCCCCGTCTGTACAAGTACTGCAGTATGAAGTACTGTGTGTACGAGTACTGCAGTATGAAGTACTCCGTGTACGAGTACTGCAGTATGAAGTACTCTGTGTACGAGTACTGCAGTATAAAGTATTTACTGACTACTTAAAGCTTCTGTATAACACAAAAAATATTCTTGTGAACTTTAACCATGTTCTGTTGTTGTGTTGTTGTGTTGTCTGTTGTTGTGTTGTTCTGTTGTTCTGTTGTTGTGTTGTTCTGTTGTTGTGTTGTTGGTTGTTTTGTTGTTCTGTTGTTGTGTTGTTGTGTTGTTCTGTTGTTGTGTTGTTCTGTTGTTCTGTTGTTGTGTGTTGTGTCTGTGTTTGTTGTTCTGTTGTTCTGTTGTTGTGTTGTTCTGTTTGTTGTGTTGTTGTTGTTGTTGTTTGTTGTTCTGTTGTTGTTGTTGTTCTGTTGTTGTGTTGTGTTGTTGTTTGTTGTTGTGTTGTTCTGTTGTTGTGTTGTTGTGTTGTTCTGTTGTTGTTGTTGTGTTGTCTGTGTTGTTGTGTTGTCGTGTTGTTGTGTTGTTCTGTTGTTGTTGTTGTTGTGTTGTTCTGTTGTGTTGTTCTGTTGTTCTGTTGTGTGTTGTTGTGTTGTTGTGTGTGTTGTTGTGTTGTTCTGTTGTTGTTCTGTTGTTCTGTTGTTGTGTTGTTGTGTTGTGTTGTTGTGTTGTTCTGTTGTCTGTGTTGTTCTGTTGTTGTTGTTGTTTGTTGTTGTGTGTTGTTCTGTTGTTTGTGTTGTTGTGTTGTTGTGTTGTTGTGTTGTTGTGTTGTTGTGTTGTTGTGTTGTTTGTGTTTGTTGTGTTGTTGTGTTGTTTGTTGTTCTGTTGTTGTGTTGTTTGTGTTGTTGTGTTGTTGTGTTGTTGTGTTGTTTGTGTTGTTGTGTTGTTCTGTTGTTCGTGTTGTTGTGTTGTTGTGTTGTTTCTGTTGTCGTGTTGTTGTGTTTGTTGTTCTGTTGTTCTGTTGTTGTTGTGTGTTGTGTTGTTGTGTTGTCTGTTGTTGTTGTTGTGTTGTCTGTTGTTTGTTGTTGTGTGTGTGTTCTGTTGTTCTGTTGTTGTGTTGTCTGTGTTGTCTGTTGTTGTGTTGTTCGTGTTGTTGTGTGTTGTTGTGTTGTTGTTGTTGTTTGTTGTTGTTGTTCTGTTGTTGTGTGTGTTGTTGTGTTGTTGTGTTGTTCTGTTGTGTGTGTTGTTGTGTTGTTGTGTTGTTCTGTTGTGTGTTGTTCTGTGTTGTTGTGTTGTTCTGTTGTTGTGTTGTTCTGTTGTTGTGTTGTTCTGTTGTTGTTGTTGTTCTGTTGTTGTGTTGTTGTGTTGTTGTGTTGTTCTGTTGTTCGTGTTGTTGTGTTGTTCTGTTGTTGTGTTGTTGTGTTGTTCTGTTGTTGTTTGTTGTTGTTGTGTTGTTGTGTTGTTGTGTTGTTCGTGTTGTTCTGTTGTTGTTGTTGTGTTGTTGTGTTGTTTGTTGTTGTGTGTTTGTTGTGTTTTCTGTTGTTCGTGTTGTTGTTGTTGTTGTTCTGTTGTTGTGTTGTTCTGTGTTGTTCTGTTGTTGTGTTGTTGTGTTGTTTGTTGTTGTGTTCTGTGTTGTTTGTGTTGTTGTGTTGTTCTGTTTGTTGTGTGTTGTTGTGTTGTTGTGTTGTTCTGTTGTCGTGTTGTTCTGTGTTGTGTTGTCTGTTGTTGTGTTGTTTTCTGTTTGTGTTGTTGTGTTGTTGTGTGTTGTGTTGTTCTGTTTGTTGTTGTGTTGTTTCTGTTGTTGTGTTGTTGTGTTGTTCTGTTGTGTGTTGTTCTGTTGTTCTGTGTTGTTTGTTGTTGTTGTGTTGTTCTGTGTTGTTCTGTGTTGTTCTGTGTTGTTGTGTTGTTGTGTTGTGTTGTTGTTCGTGTTGTCTGTTGTTGTTTCGTGTTGTTGTTGTGTTGTTCTGTGTTGTTTGTGTTGTTGTGTTGTGTTGTGTGTTGTTGTGTTGTTGTGTTGTCTGTGTTGTCTGTTTGTTCTGTTGTTGTTGTGTGTGTTCTGTTGTTTGTGTTGTTCTGTTGTGTTGTTGTGTTGTTGTTGTTGTTGTTCGTGTTGTTGTTGTTGTTGTTCTGTTGTTGTGTTGTTCTGTTGTTGTGTTGTTGTTGTTGTTGTTTGTGTTGTTTCTGTTGTTCTGTTGTTCTGTTGTGTTTTGTGTTGTGTTGTGTTGTTGTTGTTGTGTTGTTGTGTGTTGTCGTGTGTTGTTTCTGTTGTTGTGTTGTTCTGTTGTGTTGTGTTGTTGTGTTGTTCGTGTTGTTTGTGTTGTTCTGTTGTTCTGTTGTCTGTTGTCGTGTTGTCGTGTTGTTGTGTTGTTCTGTTGTTGTGTGTGTTGTTGTGTTGTTCTGTTGTGTGTTGTTCGTGTTGTTGTGTGTTGTTCTGTTGTGTGTTGTTCGTGTTGTTGTGTTGTTCTGTTGTTTGTTGTTGTTGTTTGTTGTTGTTGTTCTGTTGTTTGTTGTTGTGTTGTTTTCTTGTTGTGTTGTTCTGTTGTTGTGTTGTTCTGTTGTTGTGTTGTTTGTGTTGTTGTGTTGTTGTGTTGTTGTGTTGTTGTTGTGTGTTGTCGTGTTGTTGTGTTGTTCTGTTGTGTTGTTGTTCTGTTGTTGTGTTGTTCTGTTGTTGTGTTGTTCTGTTGTGTTGTTCTGTTGTGTTGTTTGTTGTTGTTCTGTTGTTGTGTTGTTGTGTTGTTCTGTTGTTGTGTTGTTTTGTTTGTTGTTTGTTCTGTTGTTTGTTGTCGTGTTGTTCTGTTGTTGTGTTGTTTGTGTTGTTCTGTTGTTGTGTTGTTGTGTTGTTCGTGTTGTTTGTTGTTGTTGTTGTTCTGTGTTGTTGTGTGTTGTTGTGTTGTTGTGTTGTTGTTGTGTGTTGTGTGTGTTGTGTCGTGTTGTTCTGTTGTTGTGTTGTTCTGTGTTGTTGTTGTTGTTGTGTTGTTGTGTTGTCGTGTTGTTGTTGTGTGTGTTGTGTTGTTTGTTCTGTTGTTCTGTTGTTGTTGTGTTGTGTTGTTGTTGTTGTGTTGTTCGTGTTGTTTGTTGTTGTTGTTGTGTTGTTCTGTGTTGTTGTGTTGTCGTGTTGTTGTGTGTTGTTGTCTGTTGTTGTCTGTGTTGTTGTGTTGTTCGTGTTGTTGTGTTGTTGTGTTGTTCTGTTGTTCCTGGTCACACTCAGAGCTGCAGTCATGTTTGTTTGTTTCTCTGTTCCACTCTGTTCCACCTTGTGATGTCATCAAGTGAACAGCTCCTTTTCTCTTTAGTTCAGACGAGATCAACGACTCCAGGACTGAAGTTTAAAAACACAGTGGAGCACTTCCTGTATCACCACATGATGACATCACGAGGTGGAACAGAGTGTTTTCAGTTTGAGAGAAAAACTCGTGTTAAATGTGCAGGTTTGTGTCAAACATGTGAATGAAACAAAACAAAAGAGAACAGAGACGTCAGGATGAAGATTCAATAGAATAACTACAGTAGTACTGTAGTACTACAGTAGTACTACAGTAGTGTAGTATAAAGTCGTGTACTCATTGTACCCTGAAGTAGATGATAGTAGTAGTACTGTAGTAGTACTACAGTAGTACTTCAGTAGTCGTGTACTCGTCGTACCCTGAAGTAGATAATAGTAGTAGTACTGTAGTAGTACTACAGTAGTACAGTAACAGTACTCGTCGTACCTGAAGTAGATAATAGTAGTAGTACTGTAGTAGTACTACAGTAGTACTACAGTAGTAGTGTACTTGTCATACCCTGAAGTAGATGATAGTAGTAGTACTGTAGTAGTACTACAGTAGTACTTCAGTAGTCAGTACTCGTTAGTACTGAATAGATGTAGAGTAGTCGTAGTAGTACTACAGTAGTACTCAGTAGTCAGTACTCGTTGTACCCTGAAGTAGTAGTAGTAGTACTGTAGTAGTACTACAGTAGTACTACAGTAGTCAGTACTTGTTGTACCCTGAAGTAGATGATAGTAGTAGTACTGTAGTAGTACTACAGTAGTACTTCAGTAGTCGTGTACTCGTCGTACCCTGAAGTAGATAATAGTAGTAGTACTGTAGTAGTACTACAGTAGTACTACAGTAGTCATGTACTCGTTGTACCCTGAAGTAGATAATAGTAGTAGTACTGTAGTAGTACTACAGTAGTACTACAGTAGTCATGTACTCGTTGTACCCTGAAGTAGATAATAGTAGTAGTACTGTAGTAGTACTACAGTAGTACTACAGTAGTCATGTACTCGTCGTACCCTGAAGTAGATGATAGTAGTAGTACTGTAGTAGTACTACAGTAGTACTTCAGTAGTCATGTACTCGTTGTACCCTGAAATAGATGATAGTAGTAGTACTGTAGTAGTACTACAGTTGTACTTCAGTAGTCGTGTACTCGTCGTACCCTGAAGTAGATGATGACGGCGGCCACCATGACCCCGACGCTCTGGAGCAGATCTCCTAACACGTGGATGAAGGCGGCGCGGACGCTCGTGTTACTGTGACCGCTCAGCAGCGAGGGGGCGTGGCCTCCCAGCAGCGAGGGGGCGTGGCCTGTGTGCACGGGGGCGGGGCTCTGGCCGTTCTCATCGATCTGGTGATACCCGGAACCGTGAGCGTGGAACGAGGTGGAGTGATGCAAGATGTACGCCATACTGCAGACACAACGAGTCCTGGTTTAGTCCTGGGTCAGTCCTGGTTTAGTTCAGGTTCAGTCCTGGTTTAGTCCTGGTTTAGTCCTGGTTTAGTTCAGGTTCAGTCCTGGTTTAGTTCAGGTTCAGTCCTGGTTTAGTCCTGGGTCAGTCCTGGTTTAGTTCAGGTTCAGTCCTGGTTTAGTCCTGGTTTAGTTCGGTTTAGTTCAGGTTCAGTCCTGGTTTAGTCCTGGTTTTTAGAGACCTGGTTTAGTCCTGGTTTAGTCCTGGTTTAGTTCAGGTTCAGTCCTGGTTCAGTCCTGGTTTAGTCCTGGTTTAGTCCTGGTTTAGTCCTGGTTCAGTCCTGGTTTAGTCCTGGTTTCTGGACTCACATGATGTTGACGATGACGGCGCAGCCCGACGTCACGAGCATCACGTGTCCGTTTATGTCGTAGTCGTTTCTCACGATTCTCTCGATCGCCAAATAAACGAGGGCCCCGGTCACCACCCAGATGGACACGACCGAGATGAAGGCGCCCAGGATCTCTACAGCCAGCAGGGGGCGCAAGAACACAGGGTCAAAACAAACACACACCAGAGCAGCAGGATCTCTACAGGGATCATGAAACTTTACAAATATTTATTTATAGCAAAATAATTTACACACTAAGCATAATAAATATAATTTTATCCCAATTTCTTTCTCTTTTTTTGTATTGTTCTGTGTTATGGTCGTACAAACTAATAATAGTGACAAAGAAAATGTATCGTTTATGATCGTATCAAAATAAAAGGTAAAATTAAAGATGATCAGATCTAAACCTTCAGGCCTGAATCTTGGATCCACCAGGTCTAAAAACGCCTAAATAATCACTGAGCCACTGATTTGTTTCTAAATAAAATCAAACTGCAGAGGCGCTATCGTCCAAACAGGTTCATTTGATCTTCTGATAATTTATGTTCTACGTTCTTTTTTCAGACCCAGAGTTTGTTTTTCTCCTGAGAGTTTGTTCTATTCCCTGCTCCTCTTCCTCAGAGTTTCCCTCAGAGTTTCCTCAGAGTTTTCCTCAGAGTTTTCCTCAGAGTCTTGGTCTTCGTCTGGTGATGTTTCAGTGTGGTGTGGCTCAGTTGACATAAACAGTTTTTGTCTGTGTCTTGGTCTCGGTGGAGTCAGGACGACAGCGCCACCTGCAGTTTCACTTCCTCAGGACAGAATGCAGGAGTGTGAGAGGAGTAAAGACCCTCGTCCTGGTTTATCGTCCCGTGGGCACATTTCTGTATTTTGATTTCCTCTTTAATCCAGTGATGATGTTTGTGTTGTCCCCGTCCAGAATCTGCTTCTCTCTTTTACAAAATCATAAACGGACGATTTTAATCTTCGCTGTTTCCTTCTCACGTTTTGTCCCATGTTCTTTTTTTCGTGGACTGAAGTCACTCCCTGTTTCCTCGACGAGTGTTTTATTGCAGGTATTTTGTGAATGACGTTACATTTTTGTTCTGTTTTCTGTTTTGGGTGGACGAGTAATTGTCTGAGTTTTCTGTTTGGTTCTGAGGAAGAGCGTAGGGAGCAGTGCAGTGTCAGGTCTGAAAACAAACTCTGGGTCTGAAAAAATGAACCTAAGAACATAACTGCAGAGGGCGCTGTGCTCCACCAGAACCACACCCACTTCTCATGTTTGTGAGGGTGCAGGTGTGGGTTCTGTGGGTGCTGGTGTGGGTGCGGGTGCAGGTGTAGGTGCGGGTGGTGGTGGGGTGCTGGGTGCTGGTGTGGGTGTGGGTGCAGGTGTGGGTGTGGGTGCGGGTGTGGTGTGGGTGCTGGTGTGGGTGCGGGTGCTGGTGTGGGTGTGGGTGCTGGTGTAGGTGTGGGTGCTGGTGTGGGTGCTGGTGTGGGTGCGGGTGCTGGTGCGGGTGGTGGGTGCAGGTGCTGGTGTGGTGTGGGTGCTGGTGTGGGTCTTGGTGTAGGGTGGGTGCAGGTGCTGGTGTGGGTGCAGTGGTGTGGGTGCTGTGGGTGCTGGTGTGGTGCGGGTGCAGGTGCTGGTGCTGGGTGCAGGTGCTGGTGTAGGTGCGGGTGTGGTGCGGGTGTGGGTGCTGGTGTAGGTGTGGGTGCAGGTGTGGGTGCGGGTGCAGGTGTAGGTGCGGGTGCTGGTGCGGGTGTGGGTGCTGGTGTGGGTCTTGGTGTAGGTGTGGGTGGTGTGGTGCGGTGTGGGTGCGGGTGTGGGTGCAGGTGCTGGTGCGGGTGTGGGTGCTGGTGTAGGTGTGGGTGCAGGTGTGGGTGCGGGTGCAGGTGTAGGTGCGGGTGCTGGTGCGGGTGTGGGTGCTGGTGTGGGTCTTGGTGTAGGTGTGGGTGCAGGTGTGGGTGCAGGTGCTGGTGCAGGTGTGGGTGCAGGTGCTGGTGTAGGTGCGGGTGTGGGTGCTGGTGTAGGTGCAGGTGCTGGTGTGGGTGCTGGTGTGGGTGCGGGTGCAGGTGTAGGTGTGGGTGCTGGTGTGGGTGCAGGTGCTGGTGTAGGTGCGGGTGCTGGTCCTGACCTGAGCGGTGCCACCCGTAGGTCACTGTCTTGGTGGGGGCTCTGGACGAGATCCACAGGGAGAACAGAGACACCATCATGCTGCCGAAGTCCGTGAGCAGGTGAGCGGCGTCCGTCATGATGGCCAAACTGTGGGCCAGGTACCCCCCTGCACACAAGGTCAAAGGTCAAAGGTCACTCTAGCGTCCACCAAGTACGACTTCAGACGAGAAGAAACGACCAGAAGAAACGAGGAGAACGTGAGAAAAGATCTGAGAAGAATCTCGATTTAGCAAAACACGTCCAATAAAAACACAAAAAACAGAATATTTAGAGTGAATCTGACGCTGTCGTCTGAGACTCAGTCTCCCATAATCCTCTGCTCTGCTGTCGTTTCCTCGTCACACAGACCTGGAGTCGCGTTTTGTTACATTAACATGTTTAACACACAAACCAAACTGAAAACACTCTGTTCCACCTGGTGATGTCATCATGTGGTGATACAGGAAGTGCTCCACTGTGTTTTTAAACTCCACACTTCACCTTCACCTGAATCACCTGGAACATTTCAGTCCTGGAGTTTATTTATTAAACTCGACTGAACTAAAGAGAAAAAGAGATGTGTGTGTTGTGCGTCTGTTGTGCGTCTGTTGTGCGTCTGTAGTGTGTCTGTTGTGCGTCTGTTGTGTGTCTGTTGTGTCTGTATGTGTCTGTTGTGCTGTTGTGTCTGTTGTGCGTCTGTTGTGCGTCTGTAGTGTATGTGTCTGTTGTGCGTCTGTTGTGCGTCTGTTGTGCGTCTGTAGTGTGTCTGTTGTGCGTCTGTTGTGTGTCTGTTGTGCGTCTGTAGTGTATGTGTCTGTTGTGCGTCTGTTGTGCGTCTGTTGTGTATGTGTCTGTTGTGCGTCTGTTGTGCGTCTGTTGTGTGTGTGTCTGTTGTGCGTCTGTTGTGCATCTGTTGTGCGTCTGTAGTGTATGTGTCTGTTGTGCGTCTGTTGTGCGTCTGTTGTGCGTCTGTTGTGCGTTACCTATGACCTCTCCGATCATGAAGACCAGACACACTCCGGAGGCGATCACCAGTTTGTTTTTGGCCTGGAGTTTTTCTGCTGCGTCGTCCAGGTGCGACAGGTGCGACAGGTGACGGTGACAGTGACTCTGCACCTGCCGCACCTGCCGTTTCAGCTCCATGGCCCCGTTCGACAGAGAGAAGTCCCCGAACTCTGACTTCGAGTCCGGGAAGGAGCTGAGGAGAGAGACAGGTGTAAGACAGGTGAGACAGGTGTAAGACAGGAGCAGACAGGAGCAGACAGGTGCAGACAGGTGAGACAGGAGCAGACAGGTGCAGACAGGTGCAGACAGGTGAGACAGGAGCAGACAGGTGCATATATTATAATCTTATATCACAGTCCTCAGTTGTTTTTTGCATCAGTTTTTTGTAAGATTTATTTTCAGACGATAAATAATAAATAAACAAAATAAAATGATACGACAAAAATGTAAATGTTTTGTAAATATAAAAATAAACTTTTGTTTTTTACTTATTTTCTGGGTTTAAGTGACAGAGGCTGTTTCCTAATGGTTCTCATTTGTGGGCGGAGTTTGAGGTTTTAATGAGGAGAATTCTGACCAATCAGATTCACGCTTCGCTCAAACATTTCCTGTTTGTTTCTGAGTCAGATCAGATCCAAAACGATTCTGCCGCCGCGGCTGGATCTCTGCTGCAAATTTTACTCTCTGAATTTTACTCTCTGAATTTTACTCTCTTTTACTCTCTAATTTTGTCTGTTGAATTTGAGGAAAACATTTGTGCTGAATATTTAAAAATGTATTTGTTTTAAACCTTTTGAAAATGTACAATTGAAATTGTATAATTAATTTCATAAACTGACGTCCAGAATCAAAATTATTCAAACATGTTTTTTCAGAGTTAAAAAATTCACCGTGAGATATTTCATCGACGTTTAAAAATCTGAAGAAACAAATGATCGTCCGAGTTTTTTTTTTTTTGTAAAACACTGAAATAAAAAATAAAACTGTGTCGTTCACGAGGAGCAGCAGCTGCTGACTCAGCTTTTCTCTCTCTGCGCTCGCTCCTCCTCCTCCTCCTCCTCTCGTCTCTCCTCCTCCCTCTCCTCCTCTCCTCCTCCTCCTCCTCCTCCTCCTCCTCCTCCTCCTCCTCCTCCCTCCTCCTCCTCTCCTCCTCCTCCTCCTCCTCCTCCTCCTCCTCCTCCTCCTCCTCCTCCTCCTCCTCCTCCTCCTCCTCCTCCCTCCTCCTCTCTCCTCCCTCCTCCTCCCCCTCCTCCTCCTCCTCCTCCTCCTCCTCCTCCTCCTCCTCCTCCTCCTCCTCCTCTCCCTCCTCCCTCCTCCTCCCTCCTCCTCTTCGTCCTCCCTCCTCCTCCTCCTCCTCCTCCTCTTCGTCTCCCGGGGCGTCTCGATGATGATGATGATGATGATGATGATGATGATGGGGGTAATGGTCCGTGTGCAGCAGATAAACCTCCTCCTCCTCCTCCTCCTCCTCCAGACGCTCAGGTCCAGAGAGACTTTATCACCGACTCACACCCACAGAGAGACTCCTCCCCTGGGACCCAGACCCAGACTAAACCAGGACTAAACCAGAACTAAACCAGGACTAAACCAGGACTAAACTAGACTGAACCAGGACTAAACTAGACTGAACCAGGACTAAACCAGGACTAAACCAGGACTGAACCAGGACTGAACTAGGACTGAACCAGGACTAAACCAGGACTGAACCAGGACTAAACTAGACTGAACCAGGACTGAACCAGGACTAAACCAGGACTAAACCAGGACTGAACCAGGACTAAACTAGACTGAACCAGGACTAAACCAGGACTGAACCAGGACTAAACTGAACCAGACTGAACCAGGACTGAACCAGGACTAAACCAGACTGACTAACCAGGACTGAACCAGGACTAAACAGGACTAAACCAGGACTAAACTAGACTGAACCAGGACTAAAACCAGGACTAACCAGGACTGAACCAGGACTAAACCAGGACTAAACCAGGACTGAACCAGGACTAAACCAGGACTGAACCAGGACTAAACTTGACTGAACCAGGACTGAACCAGGACTGAACCAGGACTAAACCAGGACTAAACCAGGACTAAACCAGGACTAAACCAGGACTGAACCAGGACTAAACCAGGACTAAACCAGGACTGAACCAGGACTAAACCTCTGGAACCACATTCATTCAGTCTGAGGAGGAGGAGGAGATCTCATCTTTAAACGGTTCTTCTCTGGAGCCACGTTCTGTCTGATTTATTTTCTGGAGATAATCTCTGTGTCTGAAATCAATATTATCTCCCAAACACAGAAGAATAAAACCAGACAAAGACCAGGACTAAACCAGGTCTAAACCAGGACTAAACTAGGACTAAACCAGGACTGAACCAGGTCAGAGTTGTGTTTGAAAATGAACCGTTCTCAGAGAAATAAACCCTCAGCCTCAGTGTGAAATGCCACTGTGTTTTTATTGAACCAGGTCTAAACTCTGGTCTCTGGTCCAGTCTTTGGTCCTAGTTTGGTTTCTGGTTTCCTGAGGAGCAGAGTTAAAGTGGTGTGTCGAAGGTCTCTGGTCTGGTTCTGCTCTGATCCCTGGTCCAGTCTCTGGTCCTGGTCTCTGGTCTCTGGTCTCTGGTCCTGGTCCTGGTCCCGGTCCTGGTCGGGGGTGGACGTGTTTTTGTGGATGTGATGATCGTCTAAAAACTCGTCGTTCATAAAGACTCGGACACAGTGACACTGTCCACCAGGAAAGTGACACAGTGGAGCTTTAATGTGACGCTCTGACAGACGAGAGAGAAAAGAGAGAAAAGAGGGGAACGAGAGAGAAGAAAGAGAAGAGAGAAGAGAGAGAGAGAGAAAAGAGAGAGAGAGAGAGAAGAGAGAGAGGAAAGAGAAGAGAGAGAAGAGGATCTGAGGTCAGGACACAAAAACTCCGCAAAACTCAAGCCTGAAATCTACAAACTACAAACCACAGACGAAAAGAGAAACAGACGACAGGAGAAACAGACGACAGGAGAAACAGACGACAGGAGAGACAGGAGCACAGACAGGGACAGGAGAGACAGGAGCACAGACAGGACAGGAGAGACAGGAGCACAGACAGGAGCACAGACAGGAGCACAGACAGGGGCAGGGGCAGGTGCAGTTCTGTTCATGTTTCCTTCTGTTCGTCAGTTTAATTTGGGATAAATGTTGTAAAATTCGTCTGTGGATCTGATCAGTTTGTTTTTTTCGTCTAAACTAAATTTCCACGACGTTCTCGGGGACGATTCAAGTTCTGTTTGTAAATTTTATCACAGATTTTGTTTGTAAGTTTTGTTTTACAAATCAAATTGCAAAATGTTTTATGGTGACAAAGTTTAAAGCTGAATTTTTATCATTTATTTCAAACATGTCAAAGTGAAAAGTCTCAGAAAGTGAAAAGTCCGTCACTCTGTGACTCGGTGTTTTTCTTTTTCGACAGTTTCATCATAAATATCGTTCGTCTTTAAACCTGCTCACGTCAAACAGAAACATCCCACCTGTTTTCTCCTCCTTTATTTTAGAGCTGATTTTAAAAATGTTCTGATTGACAGAGACAATTTATCATCCCAAAAACAACACTCAGACCAGAGTGACTCTGACTCTGGGTTTTATTGATTTTATTTGCTGTTTTTCTATTTGATCATTTTTGTGTTTTTTTTATTGACATGGTTTTTTATTTAGTTTATGCTTTATTTTATTTTATTTCATCCCTCTCTTTCACCCTGCGTCTCTTTCTCTCCTTCTCCACGCAGCAAAAAATGTAGTTTTAAAATGAACTCTGACAGAGTCATTTGAACATTTCCTCAGAGTTTATCTGAGTCACTCTGTTCTAGAATGAATTTAACATTTGTGTAAATGTTCATGAAGTAAAACTGGACCAAAGTTCCAGTTTAATCCAAATCCAGAGTTATATGAGTCCAAGTCAAGTCCAAGTCGTCTGCTTTGAGCTTCAAGTCATTTCAAGTCTTTAAACCAAAGAACCAGACACAGACTTTTGCATTTATATGAATTTTAAACTAAATTCTTCTTAAAAAGTCCTGGTTTATTTATTTATTTATTTGAGTATTTATTTAAAAGATAAATAACAGATATTTTGTCTGAACTGAACTGGAAGGTTCTGTGTATCAATGATCAGGTTCTGTGTAGTTCCCTCTGATTTACTGTGTATTACTGTGTATTACTGTGTATTACTGTAGTACTTTTGAGTATCAGAGTACTTCAGTTCCAGCAGAAGTGGGAGCGACATGTTCCACTTTGTTCTTGTAAAATGTGTCGCATTTATCGACTGTAAAGAGAAAAATCCATGTTCTTCATGTTCTTCTTCTTCTCTGGGGTCGGGTCTCGGAGCATCAGTCTGAACAGAGACTCCCAGACTTCCTTCACCCCAGACACTTCCTCCAGCTCCTCCAGTGGGACCTGAGGTGTTCCCAGTCCAGTCCAGAGACATGGTCCCTCCAGTGTGTCCTGGGTCTTCCTCCTCCTGGTGGGACATGAACACCTCCTGAGGGACACGTCCAGGAGACGTCAGAACAGACGTCCTCCCCTCAGACGCTCCTCTCCACGTGGAGGAGCAGCGGCTCTACTCCGAGCTCCTCCCCTCAGACGCTCCTCTCCACGTGGAGGAGCAGCGGCTCTACTCCGAGCTCCGACCTCTGTCTCTAAGGGAGACGCCCGGACGCCCTGCGGAGGAAACTCATCTGTGTCTCTTGTATCGTGGACCTGGTCCTTCAGGTTTTTACTCGTGACCTCAAGGAGAGTGAAGAAAAGTATTTTATAAAAACATGTATTTTTAGGAAAAACATCGAGTCGTCTCAAGTCACAGGCCTCAAGTCTTAGTCCATTTTATCAAGTCAAGTCTCAAGTCCTAAAAATACTGACTCAAGTCTGAGTCGAGTCCAAGTGACGACTCACAAGTCCCCACCTGTGCCACATGATGACATCACGAGGTGGAACAGAGTGTTTTCAGTCTGAGAGAAAAATTCTGTGTAAATGTGAAGGTTTGTGTCTGAAACATGTGAAAGAAACAAAACACAAAAATACAAAAACACAAAACACAAAAACACAAAACACAAAAACAAAACAAAAACACAAAAACACAAAAACACAAAAACACAAAACACAAAACACAAAACACAAAACACAAAACACAAAACACAAAAACACAAAAACAAAACACAAAAACACAAAAACACAAAAACAAAAACACAAAACACAAAACACAAAAACACAAAAACACAAAAACACAAAACACAAAACACAAAACACAAAAACACAAAACACAAAAACACAAAAACACAAAACACAAAAACACAAAAACACAAAAACACAAAAACACAAAAACACAAAAACAAAACACAAAAACACAAAAACACACACAAAACACAAAAACACAAAAACACAAAAACACACAAAAACACAAAACACAAAAACACACACAAAAACACAAAAACACAAAACACAAAACACAAAAACACAAAACACAAAAACACAAAACACAAAAACACAAAAACACAAAAACACAAAAACACAAAAAAAAAACACAAAACACAAAAACACAAAAACACAAAACACAAAAACACAAAAACACAAAACACAAAAACACAAAAACAAAAACACAAAAACACAAAACACAAAACACAAAAACACAAAAACACAAAAACACAAAAACACAAAAACACAAAAACACAAAAACACAAAAACACAAAACACAAAACACAAAACACAAAACACACAAAACACAAAACACAAACACAAAAACAAAAACACAAAACACAAAAACACAAAAACACAAAACACAAAAACAAAAAACAAAACAAAAACACAAAACACAAAAACACAAAAACACAAAAACAAAACAAAACACAAAAACACAAAAACACAAAAACACAAAACACAAAAACACAAAAACACAAAAAACACAAAAAAAACACAAAAAACAAAAACACAAAAACACAAAAACACAAAAACACAAAACACAAAAACACAAAACACAACTCCAGGTGTGTGTGACCAGGAAACGAAAAAAACTCTCCCCCGTCTCTCACTCCATCTCTCTCCTTCATCCCTCCATCTCTCTCTCTCCTCCATCTCTCTCCTTCATCCTCCTCTTCTCTTCCATCTCTCTCCATCTCATCTCTCTCCTCATCCCTCCATCTCTCTGTCTGTCCTCATCCCTCCATCTCTCTCCTTCATCCCTCCATCTCTCTCCTCCATCCCTCCATCTCTCTCCTCCATCCCTCCATCTCTCTCCTCCATCCCTCCATCTCTCTCCTTCATCCCTCCATCTCTCTCCTTCATCCCTCCATCTCTCTCCTTCATCCCTCCATCTCTCTCTCTGTCCTCATCCCTCCATCTCTCTGTCTGTCCTCATCCCTCCATCTCTCTCTCTGTCCTCATCCCTCCATCTCTCTCTTCATCCTCCATCTCTCTCCTTCATTCCTCCATCTCTCTCCTCCATCCCTCCATCTCTCTGTCCTCCATCCTCCATCTCTCTCCTCATCCCTCCATCTCTCTCCTTCATCCCTCCATCTCTCCTCCATCCCTCCATCTCTCTCCTTCATCCCTCCATCTCTCTCTTCATCCCTCCATCTCTCTCTTCATCCCTCCATCTCTCTCCTTCATCCCTCCATCTCTCTCCTTCATCCCTCCATCTCTCTCCTCCATCCCTCCTCTCTCTCCTCATCCCTCCATCTCTCTCCTCCATTCCTCCATCTCTCTCCTCCATCCCTCCATCTCTCCCTCTCCCTCATCTCTCCTCCATCCCTCCATCTCTCTCCTTCATCCCTCCATCTCTCTGTCTGTCCTCATCCCTCCATCTCTCTGTCTCTCCTCATCTCTCCATCCCTCCATCTCTCTCTTCATCCTCCATCTCTCTCCTCCATCCCTCCATCTCTCTCCTTCATCCCTCCATCTCTCTCTTCATCCCTCCATCTCTCTGTCTGTCCTCATCCCTCCATCTCTCTCCTTCATCCCTCCATCTCTCTCTCATCCCTCCATCTCTCTCCTCCATCCCTCCATCTCTCTCCTTCATCCCTCCATCTCTCCCTCCATCTCTCTCCTTCATCCCTCCATCTCTCTCCTCCATCCCTCCATCTCTCTCCTCCATCCCTCCATCTCTCTCCTTCATCCCTCCATCTCTCTCCTTCATCCCTCCATCTCCTCCATCTCATCTCTCTCCTTCATCCCTCCATCTCTCTCCTTCATCCCTCCATCTCTCTCCTCCTTCGCCCTCGTCTCCCTCAGTCCGGTGATAATGAGCTCAGATTTACACTCCTGATCCCGTGTCTTTGTCCTGTCACGGCGTTGGTGTTGGTGTTGGTGTTGGTGTTGGCGTTAGTGTGGACGTTGGTGTTGGTGTTGGGTGTGGTGTTGTTGGTGTTGGCGTTGGTGTTGGTGTTGGTGTTGGTGTTGGTGTTGGTGTTGGTGTTGTTGGTGTTGGTGTTGGCGTGTTGGTGTTGGCGTTGGTGTTGGTGTTGGTGTTGGCGTGGCGTTGGTGGTTGGTGTTGGTGTTGGTGTTGGCGTTGGTGTTGGCGTTGGTGTTGGTGTTGGTGTTGGTGTTGGCGTTGGCGTGGTGTTGGTGTTGGTGTTGGTGTTGGTGTTGGTGTTGGTGTTGGTGTTGGTGTTGGTGTTGGTGTTGTTGGTGTTGGTGTTGGCGTTGGCGTTGTGTGTGTTGGTGTTGGCGTTTGTGTTGGTGTTGGTGTTGGTGTTGGCGTTGGTGTTGTGTTGGTGTTAGTGTGGCGTTGGCGTTGGTGTTGGTGTTGGTGTTGGCGTTGGTGTTGGTGTTGGCGTTGGTGTTGGCGTTGGTGTGGACGTTGGTGTTGGTGTTGGTGTTGGCGTTGGTGTTGGCGTTGGTGTTGGTTGGTGTTGGCGTTGGTGTTGGTGTTGGCGTTGGTGTTGACGTGGACGTTGGCGTTGCCGTTGGCGTTGCCGTTGGCGTGGGCGTTGGTGTTGGCGTGGACGTTGGTGTGGACGTTGGCGTTGGCGTGGACGTTGGCGTTGGTGTTGGCGTTGGTGTTGGTGTTGGCGTTGGTGTTGGTGTTGGCGTTGGTGTTGACGTGGACGTTGGCGTTGTTGGTGTTGGCGTTGGTGTTGGCGTTGGCGTTGGCGTTGGCGTGGGCGTTGGTGTTGGCGTGGACGTTGGTGTGGACGTTGGCGTTGGCGTGGACGTTGGCGTTGGTGTGGACGTTGGTGTTGGCGTTGGTGTTGGCGTTGGTGTTGGCGTGGACGTTGGTGTGGACGTTGGCGTTGGCGTGGACGTTGGCGTTGGTGTGGACGTTGGTGTTGGCGTTGGTGTTGGCGTTGGTGTTGACGTGGACGTTGGCGTTGCCGTTGGCGTGGACGTTGGCGTTGGTGTTGGTGGACGTTGGCGTTGGTGTTGGCGTGGTGTTGACGTGGACGTTGGCGTGCGTTGGCGTGGACGTTGGCGTTGGTGTTGGCGTGGACGTTGGTGTGGACGTTGGCGTTGGTGTTGGCGTTGCGATTGGCGTTGGCGTCGGCGTTACCGTTGGCGTGGACGTTGGCGTCGGCATTACCGTTGGACGTTGGCGTTGGCATTGGCGTGGGCGTTGGCGTTGACATGAACATTGACGTTACCGTTACTGTTACCGTGGCTCGTCTGATCGTTTTAGTGTTTTCGCTTTAGCTCAGTGAAGCTCGCAGCATCTGTCACGAGAAACGTCCAGAACTCACCCGAGCGAGAAATGGATTAGTCTGTACACTTAAAAACAACCCCGAGAAAGACACGAGCGCGAAGAGAGGAGGAGGAGGAGGAGGGAGAGAAGACGAGAAGAGAGACGGAGGAGAGAGAGAGGAAGACTTTAAAACACCTGGAGGAAAAGAGAAGAGAAGGAGAGAGAGAGAGAGAAAGACGGGGATATTTAAGGATGAAGAGGATGGAGCTGAAACAAGAGGCCGAGAGGAAGAAATATAACGAAAGAGGAAAAGAAGTTTGTGTGAGAGCAGAGGAAGAGAAGAGGAGAGGAGGAAGAGGAAGAGGAGGAGAGGAAGAGGAAGAGAAGGAGAGGAAGAGGAGAGGAGGAAGAGGAAGAGAAGGAGAGGAAGAGGAGAGGAGAAGAGGAAGAGGAGAGGAGGAGAGGAGAGAGGAGGAGAGGAAGAGGAGAGGAGGAGAGGAAGAGGAAGAGGAAGAGGAGGAGGATGCAGTGTCTTGTCCAGTGCACTTCACTTGTCTCCAGTTAAAACAGGCCTGAGGTGAAGCTGCAAAATGCTTAATTAATTAACACACAATAATAATAATAATATTATACAATATTATGAGGTGAAAATAGAAACTGAGATGTTAAAAAAATATATGTTTGAATTGTACAAAGAGAAATCAACACTTGCAATAAAAATGAAGATAAAATTATTTTATATATGACAAAACGAGCCCCAGTTTGTTCAAATCTAAAAGCATTTATGAACCGATTATTACTACTATTATTATTATTATTATTATTATTATTATTATTATTATTATTATTAGCAGTAGTAGTAGTAGTAGTAGTAGTAGTAGTAGTAGTAGTAGTAGTAGTAGTAGTATCAGGATTATTGTCAGTTTTATTTCAGACAGTAAATTCTGTTCTGTTTTGGTGACAGTGAAATTTCAGACCCTCCTTTTATTTTATTTATTTTTATATTTATTTTTATATTTATATTTATAAATCCCGCAGGTTTTTCTGCACACTCAGCGTAAATTCAAGAAGATTTTTTTATAATTCGTATTAAATTAAATGTGCAGGAGCCACAAACATTTACTGCACTTTTTAATTCCACCAAAAACCACAAACCGGTTCACTTGAATTAGAATGTTTTATTTTTGCTCAACACTTTGTGGGAAATTGTGAACTTTAGAATGTTTTTTTGTTCATAAATATAAATAATAATGGTTAAAGTGTCTGACCTCTGCAGTTTGAGCGAGTACATTCTGGCGCTTTTCTCGTGGATCAGGTGCGTTGATTCTTTCTCCATGTTCCGTCCTGCGCCTCAGCCCCAAAATAAAACGATTCTTCTTCTTCACAATCAAATCAATGTTTAAAATGTGGAGTTCAGTTGGAGTAAAGTCATAAAAGTCACGGGGCCTGGGTCCGGTTCATGGTCGCGGTGCGTCCGGGAGGTGCAGCCGGGGACGGGGCTTCGCTTCGGGCGAGCGGCGGAGCGGAACAGCGGCGCGGGTCTGGAGCTGCGGCCGAGCGGGAGGAGCTCTGCGGCGGACTGGGACAAGCACCGTCCCGGGAGGAGAGAAGGAAGAGAGAAAGAGAGAAAGAGAGAAAGAGAGAGAGGAACGGCCACTGCAGCGACGTCCCGTGCGTCACGTGCCGTGCGTAAAATGTTGGTCACGTTTGTTTAACTCGCGTAAATGTTTAGTGTCTTAATTATTATTTGATGAAAATGCCTGAAATGTTACAAAATGGAAATAAACTTTTGTTTTTTTATTGGATTATCACCGCGGTCCGGGACTAAACGGTCAAAGAAAAGATAATTTTTATTTTATTTTATTTTATTTATAATTTAATTTATTCTCGTCTTAAGGACCAAATCTCCATCGTGTTGGAACAACCTGCAGCATGTTCATGTTCATGTCATGTTCATGTTCATGTCCATGTTCATGTCCATGTTCATGTTCATGTTCATGTCCATGTTCATGTTCATGTCCATATTCATGTCCATGTTCATGTCCATGTTCATGTCCATGTTCATGTTCATGTTCATGTCCATGTTCATGTCCATGTCCATAACCCTAACCCTAACCCTAACTGTGAAACGAGTTTAATTAAAGAAAATAATTCTGCACTCAGACAAACATGAAGCACTTTAGTCACATTTCCTTTGTGTTTTGTCGTTTTGAATCAGATTTTCTGTATTTTACCCAAACAAATATCAGTTTTTGTCTCTTCACTGTTCCAGGATCAGATTTGTCCAGAACAGAGACACTGGGACATTTCTGTATAAAACTGAGACAAATCAGTGGTTTTGTGTAAATCTGCAGGGACAGAGACACAGACTCAGGACTGGGACTGTCCCGGGGACATAAGGACATGTGGACACTCGGGGTTAAGGTGGTCTCCTCGTCTCCTCGTCTCCTCGTCTCCTTATCTCCTCATCTCCTCATCTCCTCGTCTCCTCATCTCCTCCCGCGCGTAAAACATGGACATGGACAAACGAGCCGGAGTCTGAGGATCTGTGCGTTTTTTGTTTTTTTTTATCACGTGAAAGTTTTTGGTTTTATTATATTTTATTGTCGTGTGTGCAGTGAATATTTAGAGTTTAATTGTTTATTTTCTTGGTGTGTGGGACAGTCAGAGGCCTGAGACCCGCAGCTTTGACACAAACACAAATGTTTTATTTTATTTATGTGTTTTTTTGTGTTTGGAGAATCCGCGCCGCTGGACTTGGTGTAATTATCGGCGCTGATGTTTTACAAACGCGTGTAAATGACGCACAGATGAATCTAAATCACGTTTCACGGATGAACAGGCCCCAGGCGCGTTCACGGAGCAGTGGAGCGCGCCTTCATCCGGGTACTGCAGCGGAAACTGGAGGTTTGGAGGATTTTTACAGAAAAACGACGAGAAGAACAAAAAACACGAACTGGAACAATCCAAACAGAACAAAACAACTGTGAAAGAATTAAGAATAGAACCTTTATTTGTCTCACAATGGGGAAATTACAGTGTTGCAACAGTTTAAGAACAGTATTAGAAAATAAATCAAAACACTGAACAAGAATCATCTAAACAAAAAAAAAGCTTCAGCTCCACAGAGACAAGAGTCTGAGACGATTCTCCTGCGTCTGATGCTCATGTTATTCATGTTATTTATGTTATTTATGTTATTTATGTTATTTATGTTATTTATGTTATTTATGTTATTTACATGTTATTTATGTTATTTATGTTATTTATGTTATTCATGTTATTTATGTTATTTATGTTATTACTGTTATTTATGTTATTTATGTTATTACTGTTATTTATGTTATTTGTGTTATTTATGTTATTAATGTTATTTATGTTATTCATGTTATTTATGTTATTCATGTTATTTATGTTATTACTGTTATTACTGTTATTCATGTTATTTATGTTATTCATGTTATTTATGTTATTCATGTTATTTATGTTATTACTGTTATTTATGTTATTTATGTTATTCATGTTATTTATGTTATTCATGTTATTTATGTTATTACTGTTATTTATGTTATTTATGTTATTCATGTTATTTATGTTATTATGTTATTTATGTTATTACTGTTATTTATGTTATTTATGTTATTCATGTTATTTATGTTATTATGTTATTTATGTTATTTATGTTATTTATGTTATTCATGTTATTTATGTTTTATGTTATTATGTTATTACTGTTATTTATGTTATTTATGTTATTCATGTTATTTTTATGTTATTATGTTATTCATGTTATTTATGTTATTATGTTATTATGTTATTCATGTTATTATGTTATTATGTTATTATGTTATTCATGTTATTATGTTATTACTGTTATTTATTATGTTATTCATGTTATTATGTTATTACTGTTTATGTTTTATGTTTTATGTTATTTCATGTTATTCTGTTATTATGTTATTACTGTTATGTTATTCATGTTATTTATGTTATTACTGTTATTATGTTATTATGTTATTCTGTTATTATGTTATTATGTTATTATGTTTATGTTATGTTATTACTGTTATTATGTTATTTATGTTATTACTGTTATTATGTTATTCATGTTATGTTATTATGTTATTATGTTTTCATGTTATTATGTTATTACTGTTATTATGTTATTATGTTATTCATGTTATTATGTTATTATGTTATTCATGTTATTATGTTATTCATGTTATTCATGTTATTACTGTTATTACTGTTATTCATGTTATTTATTTATGTTATTCATGTTATTTATGTTATTATGTTATTTATGTTATTCATGTTATTTATGTTATTACTGTTATTTATGTTATTTATGTTATTCATGTTATTCATGTTATTACTGTTATTACTGTTATTCATGTTATTTATGTTATTCATGTTATTTATGTTATTCATGTTATTTATGTTATTACTGTTATTACTGTTATTCATGTTATTTATGTTATTACTGTTATTCATGTTATTCATGTTATTCATGTTATTACTGTTATTACTGTTATTCATGTTATTTATGTTATTCATGTTATTCATGTTATATCATGTGACAGTACACGACTGTGAGGATTCTTCTGTGCAGCAGGAGGTGTATAATATAGTATATATAATACAGTATATATATAAAGTACAGTAGATGTAAATGTAAATGCATAATGAATGTACAGTATAAATATATACAGTGTATATAAAGTACAGTGTATATAAAGTACAGTATAAAGTACATGTCTAGTACATGGACAGAGTGAACTTGAGTTTAACTGACTTCAGTTTTTTTTGGTTGTTTTGTGAGTGAGACTGTGTTGTCGTGAGCGCCACCTTCAGGCGGAAACAATTGAAGAAACAGATTCAATCAAAAAAACATTTGTCCAGTGGCAGAATTTAATTTCTCTTAACATAGAGACCAGACGTCCTGAGTCCAGACGTCCTGAGTCCAGACGTCCTGAGTCCAGAGACCAGACGTCCTGAGTCCAGACGTCCTGAGTCCTGAGTCCAGACGTCCTGAGTCCAGACGTCCTGAGTCCAGACGTCCTGAGTCCTGAGTCCAGACGTCCTGAGTCCAGACGTCCTGAGTCCAGACGTCCTGAGTCCTGAGTCAGACGTCCTGAGTCCAGACGTCCTGAGTCCAGACGTCCTGAGTCCTGAGTCCAGACGTCCTGAGTCCGGAGTCCAGACGTCCTGAGTCCAGACGTCCTGAGTCCTGAGTCCAGACGTCCTGAGTCCTGAGTCCAGAGTCCTGAGTCCAGAGTCCTGAGTCCAGACGTCCTGAGTCCTGAGTCCTGAGTCCAGACGTCCTGAGTCCAGACGTCCTGAGTCCAGACGTCCTGAGTCCTGAGTCCTGAGTCCAGACGTCCTGAGTCCTGAGTCCAGACGTCCTGAGTCCAGACGTCCTGAGTCCGGAGTCCAGACGTCCTGAGTCCAGACGTCCTGAGTCCTGAGTCCAGACGTCCTGAGTCCTGAGTCCAGACGTCCTGAGTCCAGACGTCCTGAGTCCTGAGTCCAGACGTCCTAAGTCCAAACGTCCTGAGTCCAGACGTCCTGAGTCCAGACGTCCTGAGTCCGGAGACCAGACGTCCTGAGTCCCCGGGACAGTCCCAGTCCTGAACCTGTGTCCCCGAGATGGTCTCAGTCCTGAACTTGTCTCAGTCCTGAGTCTGTGTCTCTGTCCCACAGATTTACACAAAACCACTGATTTAGTGCCGGAGTGAAAAGTTTAAAACAACTAAATATTTGCAATTATTGGTATTTGTGTAAAATGCAGAGTCTGTGATTTTGGACTTGACTCATTATTATTATTGTTATTATAATATATTTTTAAAATAGATTTATTTAATACATGAATTTAATAGATGATTTTAATGTAATTTAATTTGTATTATTTATTTTTGAATTTAATATTTTATTTGTATTTATTACATTTTATTTAATAGATTAATATATTTAATAGATTTATTTTAACAGATTTATCGTTATTTTAATAACTCCGTGACGTGTCCATTGAATGTGACCTGACGTGACCTACGTGCGTGCTGACGTGTGCGTGTACGTGCAGTGACGTGATGACGCCGCCAGTGTTTGGTTTCCGCGCGGCGCTGATGATGGAGCCGAACCACAGCGACACAAACCCGAGAATAAACCCGAGAATAAACCCGGGAATAAACCCTCCAGAACCGCCGCAGGGACACGGACCCGAGGCGGACACAGCCGCGTCCCGCTCCGACAGGTACGGACCGAACCAGAGCGACAACAGCCCCGAGCTCAGACCGAACGAGAAGGAACGAGAACCCGGGAAGAAAGTGAAGCTAACACCGCTAGCAGCTACAGTTAGCATGAGACACAGAGACACAGAGACACACACAGAGACACACACACAGAGACACACACACACACAGAGACACACACACACACAGAGACACACACACAGAGACACACACACACACACACACACAGAGACACACACAGACACACACAGAGACACAGACACACACAGAGACACACACACACACACACACAGAGACACAACAGACACACAGAGACACACACACACAGAGACACACAGACACACACAGAGACACACACACAGACACACAGACACACACACAGACACACACACAGAGACACACACACACAGACACACAGACACACACACACAGACACACACACAGACACACACAGAGACACACACACAGAGACACACACACAGACACACACACAGAGACACACACACACACACACAGACACACACACACAGACACAGAGACACACACAGAGACAAACAGACACACACAGAGACACACACACAGAGACACAGGGGGACACAGAGGAACAAAGAGGAACACAGAGACACACACAGAGACACACAGAGACACACAGAGACACACACACACACACAGAGACAAACAGACACACACAGAGACACACACAGAGACACACAGAGACACACAGACACACACACAGAGACAAACAGACACACACAGAGACACACAGAGACACACACACAGAGACACAGAGGGACACACAGAGACACAGGGGGACACAGAGGAACAAAGAGGAACACAGAGACACACACAGAGGCACACAGACACACACAGAGACACAGACAGAGACACACAGTGACACACACAGTGACACACAGAGACACACACAGTGACACACAGACACACACAGACACACACACACACAGAGACACACAGAGACACACAGACACAGAGACACAGGGGGACACAGAGACACAGAAGGAGACTAAGGGACGCTGCTTGTTTGTTTCAATAAGAGCTGGAGATGATCTGAACTCTCAGGACTCAGATCAGTTTGTTTCATAAAAACTGAACAACTTCCAAATCCAAATCCAGTTTTTGTTTCAGATGTTGATGTCATGAAGCTGCAGCTGAGGTTTATTCCAGACTGGGGATAATTAAATGTCTTATTAATTGGAATTTCACAAGAAAGACTGAAAAAAAAAAAAAAAAAAAAAACAACTCCAAAGAAAAACAAATCATATCTTAAATCAGTCTGTTTATTTGCTCAGTTTTATTTTGTAAATGTGACGCACCAGACTTTTATACTTTTATACTTTTGTACTTTTGTACTTTTGTTGTAATTACAGACAGAACGTGTGCTCGTTGGTGAAGAGTTTATCTCAGATTAGTTTTAAAATGATTATAAATGGTTTATATTTCATATCTCATCAGTGGACGCTGGTTGTGTCGGAGCCGTGTGATGAAGTCTTACTCATGTGAGTCCGGCCCCGCTCTGAGCTCGCTGTGCCCAGGACAGAGGTGTGATTCCTGGGGAGGGTGGGTGAGCTCGCCCCCTCCCCCTCACACACCCCCAGAGCAGCTCCGGGGCGAGAGACGTCACAGAGCGGGACCTGAGCCGTGGCCCGTCTCTGTCTCCGCACGGGACACCGGGTCCGCAGAGTCTCCGAGCGCTGAGGCGAAGACCGCGGCTGCTCGACGGTTCTGCGGAGAAGGTTTAAACCAGAGCAGTGAGACGAGGGGCTGGAGATGAGCAAAAGGCATTTCTGATGGCCACACAGAGTGTTTTTAATTTACAGTTTAACCCTGAAAATCACATTCTGTGTTTTTATTATCATCATCTATTCCTCCACCAAAACTGAGTTTAAACTTTTAATATTTTGACAACACCACAGACGAAGTGGACTGAGGGAGCGCACTGCAAAAAACTTTACGATATAAACACTTAAATCTATCAGAAAATGACTTGAAATGATGTGTTTGTGCAGTAAGATCATTTTACTTGATGAGTTATCTGAAAATAAACGACCTCTAGACTAGAATGAAGCGTCTCAGAACAAGTAAGTAGAAAATAAATCTGAAAACAAAGAAGAACCTGATAGTTTTAAAGTTTTAAAATCTTGGCCAGATCAGAGACATTTGTGTGTTTGACTCCAGTCAGATGAAGCTCATGAAGCTGCAGGTCTGGGCCGAATTTGGAGGCGAATTCCAGATTAGGAACAGGAATTTATTTACGAACGGAAAAAAGTGAATAAAAACCCCAGGGTCATGTGGAGCGAGTGAATACGAACAGTTTAAGACCAAAATGAGAGAGGAGGATCATCACTGCAACTTTCTCTGACCTGGAGATTTTAAACCTTCTATTCAGGTTCTTCATCTTGTTTTCAGTTTTATGATTTATGATCTTCTCACTCTTTCTGAATCAGTTGTAAAATCTTAAAAATGTTCACATATATTTGTTTCATGACTCAACTCGTCAGGAAATGTTAAATTTAGGCACAAAATATTTAAGAGAAGCTACAGTTCATTTACCAAAGTTTTCCCTTCAACACTTGACTTGTTTTTAGATTCAGTTTGAACGACTCTCATGTACGACTGATTCAAGAACAAATTTAACATCAGACTGAATTTATTATCAGCCCATGAAAACTCATCATAAACTCGTTTTAAATCTGTTTATCTCAAACTTAGCGTCATAAACTTATTTCCAGCCCATGAACACTGAGCACAGACGCTTCATCCTCGTCTAGAAGTCGTTTGTCCGGTAAAGTGATTTTGCTGCATGGACGCGTCATTTTCTGACAGATTTAAGTGTTTAGATTTAGAATTTTTCAGTCTTAAATCCCTGTTTGTTGTTTGTTGTTTGTGTTTGTTTTGCAGCAGCGGAGACGATTCTCTGGACGGCCTCTCGTCGCCGCGCTGCCCTTCGACCCCTCGTTGCCCTTCGACCCCTCGCTGCCCTCTGACCCCCGCGACCCCCATGACCTCTTCCCTGTCGCCACGGAAACGCTCGATGTCTCAGAGTAAGACGGAACCTCCGCTGCTGCGCACGAACAAACGCACCATCTACACGGCGGGACGTCCCCCCTGGTACAACGTGACCGGCACCAGCTTCAAGGAGGCGTTCGTCATCGGTCAGTCTCTCCGCGCTTCTGGCCTCGTCCGGTTTAGTTTTGTGATATTTTCATTTATGAAGAATTCGGTTCAAATTTCACATTTTCAACACGTCCAGAAAAACAAAAACAAAAACACTGAAATAACCCAAACCCAAACCGACGAATATGACACAGAACAGATCTGAACTTCAGGTAGAGACGAGTTTACGCTGAATAACTCAGGAGGTCTGACTGTTTATGCAGTCCTGGTCTAGTCCTGGTTTAGTCCTGGTCTAGTCCTGGTCTAGTCCCGGTCTAGTCCCGGTCTAGTCCCGGTCTAGTCCCGGTTTAGTCCTGGTCTAGTCCCAGTCTAGTCCCGGTCTAGTCCTGGTTTAGTCCTGGTTTAGTCCTGGTTTAGTCCTGGTCTAGTCCTGGTTTAGTTCTGGTTTAGTCCTGGTTTAGTTCTGGTTTAGTTCTGGTTTAGTTCTGCTTTAGTCCTGGTCTAGTCCTGGTCTAGTCCTGGTTTATGGATGAAAGTTCAGTTCTTAAAACACTTTATCCCGACCCTGATGGCCTGATGCTCGAGGAATCGCTGAAGGACGAATCGCTGAATCAGTTTTCGCCGAAGGCCACAGAACGAGTCGAGACCAAAGTGCAGAGAGACACTTTTTTTATGGATCTGTGAGACTGAAGGTGCGTTTGGTTCTGCTGAGCTCAAATCACTGAAGAGAACGTTCCTGACAAAGAGAAACATCTAAATGTTTTCATCTTTACTGCTCATGGAAACACAGAACACAGCAGGTTCTGTTCATGTTCCTCCAGGTCTTCAGCAGGTTCTGTTCTTGTTCCTCCAGGTCTTCAGCAGGTTCTGTTCATGTTCCTCCAGGTCTTCAGCAGGTTCAGCAGGTTCTGTTCATGTTCCTCCAGGTCTTCAGCAGGTTCTGTTCATGTTCCTCCAGGTCTTCAGCAGGTTCGGCAGGTTCTTCATGTTCCTCCAGGTCTTCAGCAGGTTCTGTTCATGTTCCTCCAGGTCTTCAGCAGGTTCTGTTCATGTTCCTCCAGGTCTTCAGCAGGTTCTGTTCATGTTCCTCCAGGTCTTCAGCAGGTTCTGTTCATGTTCCTCCAGGTCTTCAGCAGGTTCTGTTCTTGTTCTTCAGGTCTTTGTGGAGGAAGTGCTTCTGGGAAAACGACTGTGGCGAATAAAATCATCGAGGCGTTGGACGTGCCGTGGGTCGTGCTGCTCTCCATGGACTCCTTCTACAAAGTACGACGACATTTAAATCAGAAATATAAGACTTAAAACTCTGGACTAAACCAGGACCGAACCAGGACCGAACCAGGACCGAACCAGGACTGAACCAGGACCGAACCAGGACTGAACCAGGACTGAACCAGGACTGAACCAGGACCGAACCAGGACCGAACCAGGACTGAACCAGGACTGAACCAGGACCGAACCAGGACCGAACCAGGACTGAACCAGGACTGAACCAGGACTGAACCAGGACCGAACCAGGACCGAACCAGGACCGAACCAGGACCAAACCAGGACTGACCTTGTAGTTTTTGTCTTCAGGTCTTGACCCCAGAGGAGCAGGAGTTGGCGAGTAAAAACGAGTATAACTTCGATCATCCCGACGCGTTTGACTTCGAGCTGCTCGTCACGGTTCTGAGGAAACTGAAGAAGGGGAAGAGCATAAAGGTTCCAGTGTACGACTTTAACTCCCACTGCAGACGCAAGGAGTGGGTGAGTCCAGAGAACGAAACGCTCTTCACAACATTTACCCTGCTCCAGATGCCCTCCCCGGACTAAAGACAGGACTAAGACAGGACTAAGACAGGACTAAGACAGGACTAAGACAGGACTAACGACAGGACTAAACAGGACTAAGACAGGACTAAGACAGGACTAACGCAGGACTAACGCAGGACTAACGCAGGACTAACGCAGGACTAAGACAGGACTAAGACAGGACTAAGACAGGACTAAAACAGGACTAACGCAGGACTAAGACAGGACTAAGACAGGACTAAGACAGGACTAAGACAGGACTAAGACAGGACTAACGCAGGACTAAGACAGGACTAAGACAGGACTAAGACAGGACTAAGACAGGACTAAGACAGGACTAAAACAGGACTAAAACAGGACTAACGCAGGACTAAACAGGACTAAGACAGGACTAAGACAGGACTAAGACAGGACTAAGACAGGACTAAGACAGGACTAACGCAGGACTAAGACAGGACTAAGACAGGACTAAGACAGGACTAAGACAGGACTAAGACAGGACTAACGACAGGACTAAGACAGGACTAACGCAGGACTAAGACAGGACTAAGACAGGACTAACGCAGGACTAACGCAGGACTAAGACAGGACTAAGACAGGACTAACGCAGGACTAACGCAGGACTAACGCAGGACTAACGCAGGACTAAGACAGGACTAAGACAGGACTAACGCAGGACTAACGCAGGACTAACGCAGGACTAAAACAGGACTAACGCAGGACTAACGCAGGACTAACGCAGGACTAACGCAGGACTAAGACAGGACTAACGCAGGACTAACGCAGGACTAAGACAGGACTAAGACAGGACTAAAACCAGGTCTAAACTAGGACTAAACCAGGACTAAACCAGATCTAAACCAGGACTGAACCAGGACTAAACCAGGACTGAACCAGGACTGAACCAAATCTAAACCAGGACTGAACCAGGACTGAACCAGGACTGAACCAGGACTGAACCAGGACTAACCAGGACTGAACCAGGACTGAACCAAATCTAAACCAGGACTGAACCAGGACTGAACCAAATCTAAACCAGGACTGAACCAGGACTAAAACAGGATTAAGACAGGACTAAGACAGGACTAAACCAGATCTAAACCAGGACTAAACCAGGACTAAACCAGGACTGACCCAGGACTGAACCAGGACTAAACCAGATCTATACCAGGACTAGACCAGGACTAGACCAGGACTAGACCAGGACTAAACCAGGTCTAAACCAGATCTAAACCAGGTCTAAACCAGATCTAAACCAGGACTAGACCAGGACTAGACCAGGACTAGACCAAGACTAGACCAAGACTAGACCAAGACTAGACCAAGACTAAACCAGGTCTAAACCAGGTCTAAACCAGGTCTAACCCAGGTCTAACCCAGGTCTAAACCAGGACTGAACCAGGACTAAACCAGGACTGAACCAGGACTGAACCAGGACTGAACCAGGACTGAACCAGGACTGAACCAGGACTGAACCAGGACTGAACCAGGTCTAAACCAGGACTGAACCAGGACTGAACCAGGACTGAACCAGGTCTAAACCAGGACTAACAGAGTGTTTTATAATGATTCTTTTTTGGTGGTTTTAGCGTTTTGCTCCGGGGGGTTTTTAGGTCTCGGGTCTTTGTGCTGATCACAGTTGGTTTCGTGTCGTCTAAACGAGCCGCAGCTGCGTCCAGAATCAATCCCTCGTCTTTTCGGGCCAATTTCACGGCTCAACGGCACCACGGCAGCCGGGGAATAGACCCGCCACACGCCACTCACTCACACAGACCTGTGCAATTAAACCAGCAACCTCTGATGACGAGCGAACAAAGAGACTGAACCAGGACTGAACCAGGACTAATGTGGGACTAAAACAGGACTAAAACAGGACTAAAACAGGACAGGACTAAAACAGGACTAAAACAGGAGGACTAAAACAGGTCTAAAACAGGACTAATGTGGGACTAAAACAGGACTAAAAACAGGACTAAAATGTGGGACTAAAACAGGACTAAAAACAGGACTAATGTGGGACTAAAACAGGACTAAAACAGGACTAAAACAGGACTAAAACAGGTCTAAAACAGGACTAATGTGGGACTAAAACAGGACTAAAACAGGACTAAAAAATGTGGGACTAAACAGGACTAAATGGGACTAAAACAGGACTAAAACAGGACTAATGTGGGACTAAAACAGGACTAAAACAGGACTAATGTGGGACTAAAACAGGACTAAAACAGGACTAATGTGGGACTAAAACAGGACTAAAACAGGACTAAAACAGGACTAAAACAGGACTAAAACAGGACTAATGTGGGACTAAAACAGGACTAAAACAGGACTAATGTGGGACTAAAACAGGACTA